CTATTATATAATTTTTATTAATTTTTTATTAATTTTTTTATTTTAAAATTTATATAATACTTTTTTAAATTAATAAAAAAATATTTTAATTTTTACATATTTTCTGTTAAAGATATTACATTTTTGAGACGCAGTGTCTATTTTAAAAACTAATAAGGATAAAATATCCCATCACTCTAAGTTTTAATCAAAATTCTAAGTAGATCCATTAGTTTTAGAAATAGACTATGTCCCAAAAGTGTAAATATCATTAACAAAAATTATGAAAAGATTAAAATATTTTTTTGTTTTTTGATTAATTTAAAAATATTATTATATTTTTAAAAAATATAAAAAAAAGCATCTCCAAGAAAAAGGAGCACTAGTGCTCCCAAGGGAAGAGAGCTACTCGTATGGGAGCTTTTTTTAATTAATAAAATTATATAATAGTAATTTTAAAAATTAATAAAAGATAAAATTATTTTTTCACTCTTATCACGTCATCAAATTGATAAAAATATTAACAGTTAACTAATAACTGGATTTAAGTATCCAATAAAAAATATTTTTTTGAAATAAAATATCAATTTTAAAAATTAATAGACTTTTGTATAATTTTAATCAAAACTTTGAAAGGTAAAAATATTTTACTCTAAAAACAAAAAAACTGAAATTTGTCATTTTTCATTTTCAAAATTGTAATTGATAGAATTATATTTAACATAAAAAAACCAAAGGATTCACATAAAAAAAATTTTAAATGTACATTGAAGAATTTAAACTAATTATATAAAAAAGTGTAATGGTACTGTTAAAATTATAAAGGGGGCCAAGTAAAAGTTTATACGAAAATGAGAAGAAATTTTGTGGGTTAAAAAGTAATTTTGGCAAAGTCGAGGGACCCATGACACTTATTATTAAACCAAATGTCGGAATCAAGGAAGTCGCTACTTGAGTTTGCGTGAAATGCTGCTAAGTGACCTTTTCCGTCGGATATACCTGTTGGCTGCTGACATGCCTCATTCCCTAATCGAGCCACGTAGCACATGGTTAAGGACATGACGATCTTTTAGGCATTTGCTATGGCTAAAGCCAGTCGCTTTTAAAGGGCCGGTCTTGTGATCCTTCTGGAAGGGTTTAATATGACCCTTTTGTGCTAATGCCCTTTAATCATCGCCTAAATACTCATTTAGTATAATTAGTTAATCAAGATTTCATTGTTACTCAAATTTTTTCTTGGCCTTCTCTTGTTAGCACAATTATTTTGCATGGTAATGGTTATTTGAGTCTTCCTTCACCGTAATCGTCCCAAATTTCTAATTTAAAAGCAAACTTCACCTGCCTTTTTTATAATTTTAATATTTGTTTCACATGATATTTTGTATTTTTTTCTCAATTATGTCTCACAAAAAGTCAACTATTAATTTTATTCAATAAAATTATAAAAATATTCTTAAATGTGAATAAATAAGTTAACTTTGAATTAAGAGTATTTTAGTAATTTTATTGAATAAATTCCACAGTTTAACTTTTGTAAAAAATTGAAATTTATCTCTAATCAATAGTGAATATATATGGAGTTAATGAAAAAATTAAAAAAGACGTATAATTATAAAATTCAATACAGAATTCCATGAGAAAAACGTAGATCACGCGAACTTAATTTCATTTCAAAATCAAATTAAAGACCAAAATGATTTCTATATTATAAATATTTTTTTTTAAAAAAAGAAGGGGAATCACAAGAGTACTTCCATTTCCATAAGTTGACGAACTTTACTAAACAATTTTCAAAGGAAGACATCATTATTTATAGCTGCGTCCACAGTCCTTGGCATGTGTGTTTTGATTTCAACCAATTTCATTTTATAAAACATCTGACTTTACTTGGCACTGCAAAATTAAATATTCCACATTAAACATTATAATATCCCAAAAAATGAATGTCGAGAACAATGCAATAAGCAAATTAACTGCCACGTCTCATATGTTCCTTCTATATGCGATTGCGTGTGTTCATGCACACACAGCTAAGCTTAGTGAGATTTTTTACCCAATCAAATGTTTCACCACTACATTCTTTTCTACCAACTTGATACCCTTTTATAATTTGGATCCATTCAATTTTTTAATATTTAATTAAATTGATGGAATAATTTAGGCACAATATTAAAAAATTTATTTGAAGTAATAAAAAATTCAAATAAATCTTTATTTAAATATAAACTAACCATTGACTAAATATTATAATTGAAAATATTATGAATCTATTTTATATCACATGGCATTCATATGATATGCTGACATATCATAATGGATAATAATGTATTATGTTGATATGATATAATGATATTATCAAGTAACATTTTCATCCTTCACATCATTATTATGCAAATATCATATTTGATTAAAGATAGTTAATCAATCGTTAGTTTTAACAATTTATTTAATCTAAAATAAAAATATAATAGGGTGAGCAAATGTCACGTGCTTGGAACTTTATACAAAATCCATTCGGCGTTTAAGGTTTGGGGTTTAAAAGCCTAAGCAAGCTTAATTTAGAATTTTGCACAAAGGTGCAAAAGGCAAAAACTCTTTGCACAAACATGCAAAAAGCAAAAACTCAATAAATTTGAAAAACAAACTTTGAAAAAAATAATTATATTATTCAAAGAGAAAAACAAATACATAAAATTTTAAGCAAAAAACATAATGCTTAAATGGCACTCGGACATTTGACTTATTGGTTGATACATTTGGCTCATTTTAAGCAAAATTCAAATCTCCTCTCTTTCAATTATATTAAAAAAAATATAATGCCTAAATGCTTGAATATAGACTATTGGGGCAATTGACTCTAATTGCCTTTGCCTAATATCTTAAGGTCCTAATGATATAAGATTTCTCTAATCTTAAAACAACTCTACTTCAAGTGGTCTAATACGATTAGGGTAGGTAACAAGAGATTAAAGTAAATAAATATTCTACAATTGGCCTAAAGTCTTAATAGGAGACTAGGTGGTGTGGTGTGTCTGTGACCCATTGGTTGTTGATGGGCCTATTTCTCTAATCTTAAAACAACTCTATTTCTAATAGTCTAATACAACTAAGGTAAATAATAAGAGATTAAAGTAAATAACTATTCTACGATTAGCCTAAAGTCTTAATACGAGACCAAGTGGCGTGATGTGTCTACGACCTATTGGTTGTCGACGGGCCTCCAATCAATGTTGGCCCAGGATCGATTTTTGACCCTAAGACGTGTGCGTCACTTGTTTTTGATGCTATCACAACTAGTTTTGTAGGTTGTGCATGTCACTGTTCATAGAACTATGACGAAAAAACTAGATCAAACTAATTACTCACCCGAATCAAATGTGATTTTAGTAAAACAGTTCTATCCAATTAGTCCATTGGGTCAATTAGTCTAAGACGTTTGATCCAATTGATTTATTTGGTCAATTTTTAACTTTAAAATTTTTAGATCAAATAGATAAAAAAATCAAATTAATTATATATATAATATTATATATTATTTTAAAATTTATATAAAATATAATATATATTTAATATTTTTAATTACTATTTACTAAGTTACATTTTAGACCTTTCACTTCTTCATTTTTATTTTTTAACCACCCATCTTTTACTCTTTCTTTTTTTCTCACCGAGTCACCTTTATACTTTACTTTTTCTTTTCTTCAAAACCTAAACTGAAATCCTAAACTCTCTAAGCAAGTTGAAAATTTTCGATGGTTAATGGTCTTGTATTAGATAATTTTATTTTGTAAATGTTAATTTTATTATCTTTGACTCTTTGGTATGTTGAATTGTGAATGGTAATTTGAAGATTTATGTAAAGAACATAATTATGTGAGTGAAAAAACATATGTTATATATTGTTTTAGATTATTTGTATATTTTATAATTATGGATAAAGTTTATAAATTTTAATATTGTAATTTGTAAAAACAAAAGTGATAAAATTTTACACTATTGGTTCAAAACCAAACTGATTGAACCAATTCAATATTTGGTCGAGTTGGTTTTTCTTTATGTTTAGTCGGTTTTAGTCAATGTTTTAAAAATGTTTAGTTTATTTGATCCTTAGTTATGGCAGACCAAATCGACCAAATTGTCCAATTGCTCACCTCTAAAGTATAAAGACTTAATTGAAAATAATAAAAACATAAAAATTTATTTTTATTTTCTTAAATAATTTAAAAACTTTTAAAAACATTTATCAAAATTTTATTATCCAAAATAACAAAACAATCTAAAACAACAAAAGTTACAACTTAATATCTTTACTTGTTAAAAACTATTTTCCTTATCTTTTTATCCTATAATTTTCATAAACTAGAATATAGTTAAGCCGCATTATTTCTTTTTGTTTTTCTTTTTGGGTATTGAAAATTTACTCTATAATGCTTAAGACTCAAGAAATAAAGAGAAATTACATATGAACATTTAATTTATTAATTGATATGTGATGTTTTACTTAAAAAATAAAATTAAAAATTATGACATTAAAAAATATATAAAGCAATTCTCTAATTTTAAATTGATAAAAAAAAAAAAAACTTCACCATATGCAGTAGATGTTATCAATGCCTATGACTTTCTTCAATAACAAGTAACTCAAAATATTGGAGAGAATCTTCCCAACTGTTAACAACCTGGTTCGCAAGTCAACTCCCAAGCTCATTTTCGAGATTCAAATTTTTTCCCCAGTCAGCCGGTCATTAATGGTTGATGTTCATCCAGGCCTGAGTAAATTCTAGGAGTCACTCGTTCTTTTCAGTATTTTCTTACGACTCGAAAGAGCTGACGTACGTCAATGTAATTCTCTGTAGCTTTAGTGTCAATATTACAAATCAAACACTAGCGAAGCCGAATTAGAGCAATCCACCATATCTACAAAAATTGTTGTCCCTATCAACTTCAGGCTGCACAAGTTCTTTTCACTCTATATAAACCCCGAACCACCTCGCCCTTCTCCCCACTGAAATCATCTTCACAAAGAAAAGCAGTCGTTCACCATATCGACTGATCATACTTTGGCAGAAACACATCGCTAGCGCTGCAACACCAAAATCTCATTGGGGAGAGAGAGAGAGAGAGGGGGGGAGGGGAAAGAGATAGGAGAAAGAAAGGGAGAGAAACATATACATTTCTCAATGGAGACTGTTTCTATTTTATTCTACGTAATTCTCTTTCTCTCCACTCTTCTTTCGTATCCTTTCCTAAGGAAGCAAAAGAGAGGACTGATTCCTATGAACAGATTTAAGCTTCCACCAGGCTCAATGGGTTGGCCATATGTTGGAGAAACTCTCCAACTCTACTCTCAAGACCCAAATATCTTCTTTTTAACAAAACAAAAAAGGTTCTTGCCTTATTAATTACTCTATAGGATATGTATTTTTTTTCTTGTTCATTTCCCTTCTCTTTATTAGCTCTCTGCTTTTGCATGTGGTACTGAACTTGGCTGGTGGGTGCCATCGTTTTCCATGTTCAGATATGGAGAGATTTTCAAAACCCACATACTTGGTTGCCCTTGTGTCATGCTGGCTAGCCCCGAAGCTGCAAGGTTTGTGCTGGTGACTCATGCTCACTTGTTCAAGCCAACGTACCCCAAAAGCAAAGAGAGGATGATCGGCCCTTACGCGCTGTTCTTTCACCAGGGTGAATACCACAATCGACTACGGAAGTTGGTTCAAAGCTCGCTAGCCCCTGATACCATCAGGAAGCTAATTCCTGGTATCGAAGACATAGCTGTTTCTGCCCTGGAGTCGTGGGCTGGCTCTGGACAAGTTATAAACACCTTTTATGAGATGAAGAAGGTTTGTTTAAGTAGAAAAGAAATAGAGCATTACAAAATTGGATTAGACCATATTTCTAATGTGAACCTCATGGTGCTTAAAGCATTTTTAAAAGGTTTTTTTGGCTCATCTATATCGTTTAATCAAGTGAAGAGTTTTTGATTCTCTTGTCCTATCCCTCACCTTTTTTTAACATGGGTTTCTTTTAGAATTTTGTTTTTATTGATGCTGGCTCTGAACCTGGGACCTCCACTTTGTTTGGATCATGATTTTCTAACGTGCGGGTTTCCTTGACTCTGCACAGTGCTCTTTCGACGTCGGCATTCTTTCCATTTTTGGTCACCTAGATAGAGGCTACAGAGAGAACTTGAAGGAGAACTACCGTATAGTAGATAAAGGTTACAACTCTTTTCCTACAAACATTCCTGGGACTGCATATCACAAAGCACTCCTGGTAAGATAAAGCATGTCCTCTGTCGCTATCAGAGAAACACATCTGATTACTTGGAGGCAATTCTGATGTAAATTTTTTCGGTGTTCAAAAGGCTAGAAAAAGATTAAATCAGATTCTGGGTGAAATAATTTGTGAGAGGAAGGAGAAAAGGCTGGTGGAGAAAGATCTGTTGGGCCATTTTTTGAACTTCAAGGATGAAAAGGGGCAAACTTTGACTGAGGATAAAATAGCCGATAACATCATTGGAGTACTTTTTGCTGCCCAGGACACCACAGCCAGTGTTATGACATGGATTCTCAAATTCCTCCATGATGACCCCAAACTTCTAGAAGCTGTTAAGGTAATCATAGAATTCCACTTGAGAAACCTTCCCGCAAGTTTAGAATTTTGTCATCAGACAAATCGAATTGTCTCAATTCATGATTTCCACAATCATTACAGGAGGAGCAAAAGGCGATATACGACTCAAACGATGGAGGAAAGAGGCCCCTAACATGGGCACAGACAAGGAGCATGCCTCTTACATATAGGGTATGTACTGTCTAAAAGTCATGTAGCTTTGTTTTAGGAAAAGCCAACTTCAAGAAACGTCTCTGAGTTTTTTTGGCTGATTTTCAGGTTGTACTAGAGAGCTTGAGGATGGCAAGCATCATATCTTTCACATTCAGGGAAGCAGTAGCTGATGTGGAATACAAGGGTAATTAAAGGCTTACAACTGGAATATTCTTTATCTTGGTTGTATTTGAGGGGCTTCCAATAATTAGTATCATCACTGTTTCTTTCAATTTTAAATGTTACAGGGTACCTGATACCGAGGGGTTGGAAAGTGATGCCATTGTTTAGGAACATTCATCACAATCCAGAATTCTTTTCTGACCCTCATGATTTTGATCCATCTAGATTTGAGGTACCTAATCTTGTCCATATCGTTTAAAGCATAATTTCATTTATTAAAACACACTAGTTTACATTAATTTATTTCCTTGGCTATGGCTTCAAGCAGGTAGCTCCAAGACCCAATACCTTCATGCCATTTGGCAACGGTGTTCACGCTTGCCCCGGCAACGAGCTTGCCAAGCTGGAGGCGTTCATTTTGATCCACCATCTGGTAACAAAATTCAGGTACTTTTGACTCGCAGTTTAGTATTACAAAAGATAGGTCATAATCTAAAGTGGCATAAGATTTTGTTAAGAAAAAAAAAAAGAAAATTGTTGTGCTCAATAATTTTGACAAGTCTCTTTCTGTTTGGGTGAAATGATGTTTTATTTGCAGGTGGGAGGTGGTGGGTTCTCAAAGTGGGATTCAATATGGCCCATTCCCAGTCCCTCGACAGGGACTCCCAGCCAGATTTTGGAAAGATTCCAGCAGAGATGTATGCCCTTTAGTTAGAGATTTGGGAAAGAATTCAACCAGCATTGAAGCAACAAAACTTTTCTGCTCCTGACCAAACCCTACTATTTTTCACCATGGGGTTTATGGGTCCATATCGGCTTTATCCTTCATGTTATTCTTGCAGCTAGTAATTGTAACTTTTATTATGTATATTAATCATTATGTAGTAATAAGGAAAAAAAAGAGTATTAACGGGAAAAAGAAATCATATTCCCAACTTTCTGATCTCTATATCTGTAGCCATGCGTGATTGTTATGTAACTTTCATTTTAACTATAAAATAAATATGAGAATTAGTAGGAAAATATTGCCAGCTTGCCACCCGCCATGACCCTCTGGAAAAAAAACACGTGTCTACTAGTGCATCTTGATTCACGTGGCAGTCGGCAGAAGTGGCCTTAAATAGGCGACGTGTCTGTCGTTTCAATTTGCCCGTGTAAAAAAAGACAGGTGCCCTTGGCTGGAGGGCACATTCTCTGTTAACGGCACAAAACTTTGGTGACAACTGAGGAGAGGTGGGGGGTGGCCTCATGGAACAATTCACGTCACAACGAGCCTACCTCTATTTTGGGTACAAATACAATGGGCCTACCTATATATCTTTCAACTTCGAAGGCCAAGGTGCCTTTGCCGGTGTCCCCAATGCACGTTCTTTCCTAAGCCTCGAATCTGCTTGCGAATGAGGGCACACTCTTGTTGAATGACCTAATAACCAAAGGCAGTGCACCAACAGGTGGCCCAAAGCACTTGGCCCCCACACTTCATCTGGAATTTTCCGACCAGTTATCCCTTCAAGCAAAAGTGATTGCTTAAGCTAAGCAGACACGATTCAAAATCAGATCAGTCAAATGATACTGCATAGGAACGTGAATGTGATGGAGAAGACAATTTAAAAACGACTAAGAAACTGAGAAAGAGAGTTTTAACAAGAGAAGATAAGTTCACAAAGTTAAGAAGTAGCTTTGAAGAAACAATATAAAAATTGTAGAGATAACGAGCAAAGAAAGAAAGAGAGAAGCAAACTACAGTACTCGAAAACAAAGTATAAACCTCGAATTTGAGGGTAAAACAATCTGAAACAACATTGAATCATTCAGGAGGATGAAGCAGCAGAGTGAAAGGCAAAACAACAGTATAAAAAACAATCTCAAACTTTACTTGGTGGTCGTTGCCTAGAGATCATTATAGCCGTCCCGGTTTGTTTCAATCATTTCTCTAGGAAGGACAAAGAACAGTGCATAACACTGCAAGTTCATAAGCATACTGTTAATGACCCACATGAGAACAGAAGACTGAACAGCACTTGTTATCCCGTTGTGCCTCGGGGATAATTTTAACCAACAACTTAGGTATTTTACAAACTCTTTCCTCCAAAAAACAGATTATTTACTCTTGTTGGGATAAAACCAAAAGCAATACTAGCACTGCCATCTTCATGCCTTAGAACAGTGCCATCCTTATTAAAACATGAGATGTATCACAACCATCAGCAGCTGGTTCACTACCATCATAGCAACACCATGCCAACGATCTTTTACACTGGATCCTATTATCATCATTACCGAATCACAGTGCCACAGCTGTACCTACATTCACATGGACCCATCAACATCAAGACTATAAGTTCAGAATACTATTAAAACATTTCCATCCTTACACAGATGCCACCTGCTGCTTGCTTCATGTTATCACATGCCGACAGTACGTCCAGCTTAATTATCTATCATGGCTAGAAATACTCAATATAGATAAAATTTCTTAAAACTACTTCAGAATGACAAACATCATAACAAGATTTGAGGGGAAAACTTAAGATGCTGATTAACTTTTGTTTATCACCACAGCCATGGGCACTGTACCACCTCAAGTCCTGGAAAATATCTCCATATTTCAGAAATTCTAGTAATGTGTATGAAATCCACTGAAATGTTGTATTGATTGGTCATAACACGACATGTAAGTGCCTAACTCCCATGTAGAGTAATCGTAGAAATAAATGGTAAGGAAGATCATTGTAAGAAAGATACTGACAGTTCAGCAATTCTCCATCAATCATATTCCTACAGCCAGTATAGCCACATTTTTCAACTGACCCCATCCCCTTTTTAAGAAGAAATCACATAGCTATGTTTTCAGAATTTAAAAATCGCATATTTTATCATACTCTACAGCAATTATAGCCACATCTCTCAACCAACACCATCTCATTGTTAAGGAATAATCCCCATGATTAAGGTTTCACAATTTAAGTATATCACGTCATTGTTGAGCAATTAGAATAAACAAAGTTCTTGCTCAAAACATAAAAAGACCTTTCAAACTATCTCAAACAAATTGCTAATCTCTATTGGTGTGAAAGATCATGAACCTTTGAGCACCAACAAAACAAATTGGGAAATACATCTGAGAAACAAAATTGTCTATTAACAGAATCAGGCTTGTCCTTAACTCTACTTTCTATGCTGTACCAATCTAATGTCGGCTTATCAGTCTAGATATTACATTTATATAGCAAAAGTATATGTCCTTGTATCCAAGCAAAGGGAAAATCAGGATCCTGATTATCTAAAAAATGTAAAAAAAAAAAAAAAATCTTGTGTGCCGAGATTTTGATTTACAGAACAATCAGCAAAGTCAAGATAAGTCACCACAATTTATGGTTTTTCTACTGTTGAATTCTTTTTGTAGTAATTTTTCCCCACTCACTGCTGCTAATGATACACCTAGTTACACCAGGATACCAGTTGTCCAACTCTTAGTTTCAATTTTTGAAACTATCAAAGCTTTTGGCTGAATGAGAATGGTGAACGAAAATTTCTAGATCACACTAAAGCTACTTACAGAATCAATATGCTCTAAAAAATTACAACACTTAATGACCTTCTTCTAGATGCTATTTGCCAAGTATTCGAATAACAGTCCATGTTCACATGTTATAAAAGATGAGGACAAAAAATATCTTGCATCTAAAATGGACTTTCTTAACGGATGGAGACACAGGTAAGTAACTAGGCAACTTCCTTCATAACAGAACTATCAAACAAGTCAGCAATAAAAATGCCATGTAAGTAATCCAGTGAGTTTTGGGTCATTACAAATTAAAATTTTATACGTAAATTAAAAGAATTAAAAGATATTGACAATGAAATGCAAGAATGACTGATGAAGCATGTAAAGTTAGAAGCACGAACAGTTACAGAAACAGATTAACATGCAAGTGATTGCCCTCCTTGATTCCACTTTCAGAAAGCAAAGAAGGAGGCCGCCTGCACCGGTTGGGATCCATTGAAACATAAGATAAATTCAAAGAACAAATCAGAACAAATCAACTTTCTCCAATTAACTAATCAGAACAAATCACGGTGAAACGACACATGCAGTGAAAGAATAACACACATAAACAGATTCAACCTTTGTATCCAATGATTCTCCTACATTGATTCGCGTCCGCGTAGATCTATTATCTATTCTTAATAAATAAATGCTTCATTACAAAAAATCACGGGGAATCGTTTATTATATACCGAAAGCGATCAGAAAGTACCACACTTACAGCATCGAAACTCGTTGGAAGATGCAAATCCATGAAAGACTAATCGACGAGATGTACAGTGGAGTCCGTTGACGTTGATATTGATCTTGTAGTTGTAGCTGCAGGCCGTTCACAACTCGTTTGTCAAACGCCGAGTCGCCCATTCTTTTTCCCTTTTTTGGACTCGGAGGGCTATTGGGCCTGTTAGGCCCAATTATAACCATCCTGCTTTTCGATTTTTCCTTTGCTTTCTCGGGCAGGTGCATCCTTTGAGTGGAAATATTTCTTGCTGGTAGTATAAAGTTTTCTTTCTGAAATTCCAGGACTTCTTTTTGGACAACCGAACCTAGATCGGATCACATCTTTTCATAAGGATTCGTTCCACTAATTTAATTTAAGCCCCACCGTCAAAATCGAACAGCCTTTTTTTTTTTAATTACTGTTTTGGTTATGAATCAACCATGGTTATGGCTTAAAATTGGATTGCCAATATTGAATGGACCATAAATCCAACAGCCGGTGGACCCAAAACCGCGATGTATTGGAGACATAGCTAAAGGTTTTGAGGTTGCATGAATAAATGTAAATACTATATCATTTGCAACGTAATTGTTCGAGGTAGTAGTTGAAATTATTGAAATACGTGACTCTCACGAGTCACGTTTTGTCTTACCGTGGAGGGTACTCTTACCCTAACCTGGAGTAAGCAATTTGACATCTGTGCATTTGTTCACCAAAGTAACCAAATGTAGCCTATGATCACTACTAGACTTGCACATTACACCAAGAGCCCACGGCTTGGTCTACTAATCTACTATGATACTCCTTTTTTATTTTGTTAGAATTTTGGTATTGTTTGAGATTTTCACTAAAAGCCTGCTTGGGAACTTGAATTTGAGGGGTCGAAGATTGTTCAATTAAAAAAAATTAATATCTCATTTGATAATTCTATCAAAAATTCGTTCCATTTTGTAATGTTAAAAATAAACTATATATACTCTATGTGTTAAACAAAATAGATAATGCTTTAATTGTTTTGAGATCATCTGATTCCTTTCGAAAGAAAGAAATTTGAAATTAACAAATAATAAAAGAAATGAAAGAAAAATAAAATTCATATTATGGCCTGCATAATTCCTTATCTCTTGTTACAAGATTCTACTTCAAAAAATGTCAAAATCTGTCTATCTAATGCCAGGAAATTCCATCTTTGTTTTGTAGAGATTCAGAAATTGAAACACCTAATTTCATGTATTTGCCTCCGAGAAATAAACAGAAAAAATCGAGCTGAAGCACTCTGTTTTTTTTTGGTGGAAGAGTTGAAGCATAATAGAAAAAGGACATGAACATGGAGAGAGAGAGAGACAGAGAGAGAGAGAGAGAGAGAGAGAGAGAGATCCAATATTGTTTGTTTCAAAACGCCATGAGAGAGAGAGAGAGAGAGTAAACAGAGTTACCATTGCCGAGAATAGCATAATTTTTCCAGTTTCTTGCCAAGAGAAATTCCAAACGTTCATTTCAATCAAAAAACTTGTGCGTTACCGCAAGGTAATCAGTAGCCAGGGGCGAAACTAGAGTAATTTTTAAGAGAAATCAAATAAAAAAAGATATTAAACAGTTAAAAAGAATTTTATATATAATTTAATTATTATTTATTTAAAAAATTAAATTAAATTTAAAAAATATTAAACATATAAAAAAATGTAAATTAACATTAATGGTATTGTCATTTATATATATATATATATATATATGATTGAAAATAACTATAAAATGAGTCTCTTTCACTCTTCACTCTTCGTGCATAATGGTGGAAGAGAAAATAATTTTTCAAACTCCAATAAATATAGTAATGAAATCCTTAACAATAGTGCAACACTACAATTTATATTTAAAATTTATAAAATAATTTATTTATTTTTAAAAATTAAAAATATAAAAAATAAAATTTATATAATAAAAAAAAGAAAAATATGAAAAGTAAAAAATAGAATACATATATGACATCATAAAAAAATAAAAAAATATAATTAATGGTTCGTAAAAATTTGTGAAATAAAATTTATAGAGATTTAGAATGTATGAGTAAATAGCATATAAATAAATAAATATTAATATTAATGATATAAATTAAAAAAACCTTTAAAATTGAGCCAAACATATAAAATTATTTTTTTATTATTTATTTATATTAATTATTAAATTAAAAATTATTTTAAAAATTATTAAAAATTTATAAATAATTTAAAAATTTTATATATTATATAAAAAAATTTAAAATTCCTATAAGGAGGCTCCGTGTAACTTGTTTGAAACTTTAGTCAAGTTTTGTGTAGCGTTGTAGTCTCATGTTCGTAAGACTAAGTAAACGTAAATGAAGTTTATTGATGATCGGAGCAAAAAAATATTAGAGAGAATAAATAAGTATTATATTTCAGTGAAAGAAAATTAAAATATTTAAAATCTACGTACAAAGTAAATTATTTGATCCGATAAACTTGATTTGATTACTTTTTAATGATTCTGAATGGTGCTATTTATAATAATTTATTAATCTAAATTTAGTGCGCAAGTAAATGTAATTACGAAAATATCTAACCTAAACTTTCTTAGAACATAAAATAAAATAAAATCTTAAAACTATACTTCATTGATGAACAAGTTATCAATAAAAAAGATTTTATTTTTAAAAAATAGTTCAATTATCCCATAATACTTTATTTAGTTGCTAAGACGACCATTGATGTACCCCTACATGTGAACTAACTCGATAATCTATACGAATTAAACTAATTACGGATTTACGGATTGTAACACTTCATCTAGAGGTGAAGCAGGTAAAATACTATTCAACAGCCAAATGGAATAAGCAATGTGCTCAAATTTGACAAAATATTGGTAAAATTATTCAACAGTCAAATGGAATAGGTAATGTGTTCAAATTTGACTAAATATTGGAAAATCATTGGCCAAAGCCAATCAATCAAATCTAATGAATGAGCCTTTTTTCCATTAAAATGAAAATCTCAATTACGCAAAATTTTTGGTGCTACATGTCACGCGGTGGAAGAGGAAGGACCCACATTACGAGAAAACTGGTTGAACCCTCAAGGGCGCAAGAAATGAAAAAAAGAAATAAAAAAACTTAAAAAAGAAAAAAATCCAGCGAAGCTAAGTAGCGCCTCACAGAAACATTCCGTTGCTGTGTTTGTTAAATAAAGCACGCGAGATCTTAACCTCAAAGTCTCGCTTTCTATTTTCCTCATTGTTTTTTTTATCATTTCCCGTTCCCACTCTCTCTCTTGAAAACCAGCTAAAATCTTCTCTTTCTCTCTCTAACTTTCTTTCTTTTGCTTTCTTCTTCCTATTTCTTTTAGCTGCAAAAAATTAGGGCTAAAAAGGCAGATCTCTCTTCATCTTCTCCAATGGAAGCGCAGTGCATGGGATTCTTGCATTAAGAATCTGGTTCTTTTACGAAATTTTGGAGTCATTTTGATTGATGCTTTCTCTTTGAAACTGGTGTCTGATGGAGTCATTTATTTGGAGCCGCAACGCCAAGCCAGACGCGTTGCATTTCCTCTTGGCGGTTTACTTCGCGTTCGGTTTCGTTGCCGCCAGGTTCTTCCTTGACAAAGTCATTTTTCGCGTAAGATTCTTTTATCTCTGTCTTTGTGTTCTTTGATTCCTAAATGAGTTATTGCTTTTTTAGTTTTCATAATATTTCGTTCTGTATGGATAAGCTTATAAAGGATAGAAATTTTTTTAATTCGAATTGAAATTCCTCGCATCCAGAAGGCCGTTTTCAACTTTGGTTGATTATACAGAAGTCCATTCTTTGAATCCTGGTTCTCTTTTTTTTTTTTATGCTTATATTTGGAAGGAAAGTTATCTTTAGTGGTTGAGCTTAATTAATAGTGCGTTGACTTGAGTCTTGGTCTGGATATGTTAATAAAGTATGTCGCTACTGAAAGAACAATAATAAAAAAGAATGAAAGAACGAAAGCATTGTAAGAATAAATAAGATAAGAGAAGAAAAGAGACGGGGTATAATGGTAGTTGGATGGCACCAGGCAATTCAGTCGTTTTCAGGTTAAGATGGTCACATCCAAGGTCAATTTCCTGGAGCTTTACATATGTAAGGATGATCTTTTGATGAAATGGTTAGATTTAGAGAAAAATGTGCTTAAGCCTTGAAAAGGTTATAGAAGATGGTGAGAAGAAGCATGTGCTCTGTTAATTGAAGTGTGTTAAGGCCGTGTTTGATGCATTAGATTACGGATAGGATATGAGTAACTTTCCTTTTATTTATCACATTTCTTTTTTATATGCACAACTGAAATGTTTAAAACCCCTTTTGCATCATGGTATTTATGTTGAATTGCTCAATCCTATGGAAAGAAAGGTAGGATTCCATAATTCCACATGGACAGGATTATGTAGGATGAGATGAGAACGTTTTAGTCATATATAAACAGACAAAATGAAAACAATTTACTTATCCCTATTGTCTTATCCTACCATAATCATAATCTGTTACACCCAATCCAACCTAAAATTTTGAGGATGAGATTTCCACTAGAAACCAAAGTGCAGGGAAGATATTCCTTGTCTTCTGGAAGTCATTGTGCAATGTAAGTACTACTAACAGATAAGTGTCGTTTTCAATAATTAGATTTTTCAAATTGTTTCTACCTGCTTTTCAATCGAAGTTTGAGCCTCTGTTTATAAACCTTGAAAAATAATTGGCTATTTCAGCAAAACTGAAATTTAAGGAAATCTTTTGCCATATGTGTGGGCTGTCTTGGAATTGATTTATCTAAGTTTTCAGAGCAGAGGATTTGCTTGCAGTGTATTAAGTAAAATGTCTCAAAATCCTAAATGAAGTTGTTACTCCAAGTGTCCTTGTGTCTCAGGGCTTAGGCATGGGTGATTTCAACTATACTTGTTACACTGATAGATAATTATCCTTTTGCATAAAAGCTCCTGATAAGTGAAGTGTATGTTTCACCAAAAAGGTGTATCCTCATGATATATTTCAAGAAATATTATGGGAATGTATGTTTGGTTCAATTGGGAATTGAAGAAACATTTCGGTTCCTAAATCTTGCATTGATGACTTGGGTACTATATGGTCATTATTCATGTTAATAGTCAGGTGGGGAGATATCATCGCAATACAATGTAGAATCACAGAATTCTCTTTGTTGCGTTTTCCAGTATGATGCCTTAGGATATGTAGATCTCCCATGATATTTCAGAGTTATAAAATTATTATCAAGCCTCATTGAAACAAAATACAAGGATATCGTGGAATTTGGATTAGAGAGACTAAAAGAAGTGTGTCAGGCCACCACAATATTTGCTATCCAAGGATTTGGTAACTGTTCAGAAAGTTCTCTCTTGTCCAGCAACACTTTGTGAGGTGGAAGTTTAATCAAATGCATTTGTACCGCATTGATTCAATTGTACCCAAACAAGGTGTAGCTGTAGAAACCTTTATGATGTACAGCAGGATCGTGTTAAATAAACTTTTGGAGGCTTTGGCCAAAAACAAAAATGAACTTTTAGTGGCAGTTTCTTAATGCAGAGACTGCTCCTCCCTGACATTTCTCCATCTTGTCATTGACTACATCTCTCATTATCTAGCCTATGCATTCATGTTAAACTTTTCCCCCTCTGCTCTTGAAAGCAAACATGCTAGTAATTCAACGGCTAGCTTTTGCTTTCAATATCTTGTAAAAATTGAATTTTAAGTTATGGATGAGCATTAACTTGCTCCAAGTATTTTCCTACTAGAACTTCTTGGAGGCAATTCTACTTTCCAAGTGAAGAAGCAAATATATTGCAGTTTAAAGTGGCAAGTGTAGGGAATGGATAAATGAGCTTTTATCGGCTAAGTAGCCAGCAATCTATGCTTCAGTTCCATAAGTTGATTGTTCCTCAATCTTGATATTTGAAATTTCTACTTTCATTAGAAATGATGTGCGTCTGTTTGAAAGTTCTGCTTAAATGTAATGCCTTGCTTATGATAGTAAAGAAAGCAATAACTTTGTTTAGTATATTGGTCATAATACACAGTAGATCAGATTTGTTCTTTCAATAGTTTCATTTCATATTTATATTACATGCAAGTGCATCTGCATAAAACTGGGTATAAAAAACTTGATCTTTTGTTAATACAAGTTGATTTTTCTTTATGTTCTTTAAGAGGTTGGCTATCTGGTTGTTGAGTAAGGGATCTGGTCCTTTGAAGATGAATGAGGCTACACGGGCAAAAATTGTGAAATGCTCAGAGTCTATGTGGAAGCTAGCCTACTATGCTACTGTTGAAACATGTGTTCTCAGAATCACCTACTATGAGCCATGGTTCAGTGATACAAAAGAGTACTTAAGGGGCTGGCCAGATCAAGAGTTGAAGTGAGTAACCTATATTCCTGGACTTACATTCAGCTGTTGTATTTATCAATCTCATATTTTGTGCTTGTATGCAGTCTTATGACATTTTTACTAAGATATATTGTCTTTGTCACTAATTGACAGAAAGTTGCTGTTTGTCTTAAATGTTGAGGCTCTACTTTTCTGATCCTTACATTGATATTGCATGAAAGGCTCTTCTCTTGTTTGTAATTATTCTTTTAAGAGAGGATGGCCAAAACTATTATTGCTCTTGTATTTAGGGATTAAAATGCTTTGATAACCACTCTTCTATTTACGGATGGAAAGGATGTATCTGTACTCAAAAAGCAAAAAAAAAAAGATTCCCTATCTTATTTTCTAATTCAGACAAATGGTTTATTTTTGTATGTGAAATCTGTGCGTTTTATGTGCTCAAAATGTTTCCCCTTTTTTTTATTTAAAAAAAAATCTGTTTGAAATTAGTTGTAGACAATTGTGTAGAAAAGATGGTATTTATTTGCGTGCACCTCTTTGTAAAGCTTTTGTGAATGCGTAATCTTTCTTGTATTAATGTATTTGAAAGCGAATTTGCATACAACATCTGATTTTTGTTGTTGTCTTTCTTGTTTTGTTTTTAGCACCCTTTGTCCTCCTATCTGATACAAATCTTAACCTTTTACCTTTCACTATTAGCAGATAAGCCTATGTTAAACTCATTGAGGTACACATTGTTATCTTCAAATGAGCTTGCGAGCTTGTTTTACTTGTCATTTGATTTAGTCTCTACTTTTCATTGGTGTTGGTTTAAATGTTCTCTTACCGTCCTTTGAGTGAATGTATCAGTTTTGACTCTGGAGTGTCTTGCTTGTCAACATCTCAAGGCAAAACATTTTCTCATGGGATATTATTCTCTTTCAAGGAATAAATCTGCTTTATCAGTATTTTATTGAAAATCATCTGCCTTTCCGTTGATGCATGGCCCTACTCATTTTGTTTCGTTCTTTTTAAATTTCCCTTTTCTTTGATTGCACAGTTCTGCATGGTGTGGAGTACTAGGGCTTCTTACACCTACTGACAACCTATTTGAATGTTAATGTCTTCCATTTTTTTTGGTTCAGTCTTCCCTTAAGCCTTTACTACATGTGCCAATGTGGATTCTACATCTATAGCATTGCGGCACTCCTTACATGGGAGACTCGAAGGAAGGATTTTGCTGTGATGATGTCTCATCATATAATTACTGTTATCCTGATTGGATACTCATACATTACAAGGTAACTTACCAGTTTCTGTGGAAGTGCGCCAAATTGCCAATCATTACCACATAGCAGAAAAGCAAATATTCTTTTGGTAGTCATTGTTGCTTACCTCTTGGCATCTTTGGAATCTCATCATTGGACCATTTTCTCTAGATTGCATAATTTTGATCTGGATATCTAACCTTTGGTTGTAACGAATTTTTAGTATTCCTTGTTGGTTTTTTTTATTATCATTTTGAATGCTACATTTTGAAAATTTTAATATTTTCTATTAATCTATACAAAGTTTCTAAAATTGTTTGCTATCTGTATCCATATATTGTGGGGTACAATAGCTGACAAAGTGTATGGTATGGTCAAATTAGTGCATCCCTGGTTCAATGTGCTATCGCTTTGTTGTTCTTTCAATTTACTTTCAGCAAGCCTCAATAAGCAGGCAGATTGTTGTTCTTTTAAAATCTTCTGTGATATGTTAACTTTTTTCATCAAATCATGGTGAAAATGCAGGCATTTTTCCACTTCTTCATTGCTATGATCACTTTCATATCCTCAGCATCTTATTTTAATGTTGCAAGTGCTGGAGTCATTACCTAATCAATGACCAAGATCAATGAAAGCTATTACTTGCAAGTTTTTAGGAATAGATGCTTACATCAGAATTGAGGAGTATTTAACGGAATTCTTGTGAAGGAAGAACATAGGACTTGAGAGTTTTACACTTTTCTTCATAAGAGTTGGTTTAATAAATTAAATTAACTTGAAGATATCCAAGTGGAAGAAGATTTTAATTTGCTTGTTTACAGGTTTTTCCGCATTGGTACAATTATCCTTGCCCTACATGATGCAAGTGACGTGTTTATGGAAGCAGCTAAAGTTTTCAAATATTCTGAAAGGGAGCTTGGAGCAAGTGTGTTCTTTGGATTGTTTGCCATCTCTTGGCTCTTGTTACGTTTAATATTCTTTCCATTTTGGGTCATCAGAACTTCAAGGTTTGCCCTTATGGTTAATAATTCGGTTTCAGTATGATATCTGCATAGTGATTGATCACTTAACTACTCTTGTGGTTGGCCTCTGACAGCTATGATGTGAGGGAGTACATGAATCTTTCCGAGGCATTCCCCAGATTCCTGTACTATGTTTGCAATACTCTGTTGCTGATGCTGCTTGTGTTCCATGTCTATTGGTGGGTTCTTATATGCTCAATGATCAGGAGACAATTGAACAATAGAGGGAAGGTTGGAGAAGATATTAGATCTGGTAAGCCTTTCTTTTTATCAAAATAAAAAAGGAAAAATCAATCTGTCTCTTGTTTTATGATATTAGGGAAATTGTGTGCAACTTTATGTTGTTATTCCTTGGAAATTGTTAATGCTTCTGTTTGCTATTGTCATTTAATGTTGGAAGATGTTAAAATTTCTCTCTCCCTCTCCACTCTTTCCCCCGAAACATGAGTCATAGAAAGCAGGAATGAGAGCAGGAGCAGAAGCATGAAAGTGCTGGAATTTAAAATTCTTGATAGGAAGACAATTTTAAAAGCACCTTAAAAATATATATATATATATGATGTAAAATAAATAACAACATTCCAAAGTATACCTACCAAATGTTTGGTCACATCATTTAAGTTTCTATGTAAAAGAAGGAAAACTTGGTATTAGACTTATAATGGAGAAAACTACTAATTCTCATCTAATTCTGTGGTAGTGGCTACATGTGGCTTCTTATCTCATAGTTGATATTAGACTTGTAAAACAAGGAAAACTTGCAACATTAGCCCTAAAATGTTTGAAAATAAAAATAAAAACTCTTAGATTTATAAAATTAGAATTCGGGAATTCAGTTTGTTTAATTTGCAAAAATCTTTATACACAAACTCCCAATGAGCAATTTCAGCTCTTGTCTCATCTTACTTGATAATTGTTATTTCTCTATGTTGAATGCAGATTCTGAGGATGATGATTAGACAGAAGATTTCATAAATTTTTTTGCTCTTGCTGGCAATGTTAAGCCCTGAGGAGATTACTTCTTGTAGGTTTTTCTCTGCACTCAATTGGTCATATTACTTTGGGGTAAAAATCCTCTATTTGTTTCAATTTTTGATTGATTCTTCTCAGGATAGAGATGTAGGAAGTAGGATGATCAAGCATGCCTTGATTTCTTTTTTACTGTATAAACGATAGGCAATTACTGTATAATTGTTTTCTTTGGATAAACTCCTGTTTTGGGATTAGTCATCATAAGGAGAAATGAATACAAGGGAAGGTTATCTTTGTTGAATGTGTCTCTTTCTCTTGTTTTTAGTAACACCTTTGAAACTGGATAGGCTGCCCTTTTTTTTCTTCTGATACTTCTAGAGGAAGATGCTTTTCTAGCAAATATGAACATATTAACTGTAAATACGAAGTAGAAGATAAGTTTTTATTGATGAGCGCTAGTAAATTATTTTTATTCTTTTTAACTCGGAAATTAAGATGTATAAATGTGCGTTGCTAAATCAACAGGTATTCATTTTGGTAAAAGGTTGATGAGTATATATATAAACTTATAATTGGTCTTACTTTCTACATTTTTACGTTAACTTTCATCTTAAGGAAAAGACAATGAGAAGAGGGTTTAAAACTCTTTAAATTTTCTTTTGTAAGTAAGGTGTGATCATACTTAAAAATATTGTCTTCACCGCTTTAATTTCGTCAAAGAAACAAACAGGGAGAAAACTGTAGAATAACATTTCAAAGCGGCTAGGCTGCTCGGCTGAGCTAGCCAGTCTTATCACAAAAATTTCTTGTCTGGGCACATGCCGCATTGCTTCGATGAAATTTCTCCAACGCTGTGGCTTCTTCTCGAGGGAGCATTGCCTGCAATTCGATTGTTGGGTTGGATGCAACTTTTGTTTGTGGATACCTTCCCGACACGAAATGACATTTTTTGTTCTGCTGTTGTTCGGGTTTTGGAATAAGGACTAGGAATCAAAATTAAAGTGTAATATGGGTGTAGCGGAGGAGGGGACAACTATAAATGAGCATGTACCTTGAATCATACATGTGTGGAAAGTGGGATCTCCGTAGACCCGATTACCGTTTTGTAAAAAGAGGATTATTCTTCGGATTTTGGTAACTTCTTTCCAGCACAAGGTCATTTTTATCTTATAAACAGTTGAGGCCTGATGGCGATCTTTTGGTGGAAAACAATCACTTCACCAAAGACACAGGAGAAAAAGAAACTTTCCAAAGTTAGAAAGAAATCACCGTCGAAATAATTAGTAAAATACGAACATTTAATTATGATCAAGACCTACACAAAATAAGGTTATCTGCCTTAGGACTTACTGATGTGAACCTACTCTATGATATATTCAAATATGTCTACGTACTTATTCTAAGATCATGAAATCATACTTTATTCGGTCAAACCATATTTATTTTTATTTAATTTGATTTTAATTGTTTTTTCTCATGTTATCAACCTCAAATAAAAACAAAACCCCAGCTGTCACGATCTAATCCTCTTACATGTTCTAAACGCAGCGTTGCGTCGCCTGTTTAAGGCTTCACCGTCCAAATTCAAAGCATCGCTTTCACACCCCAGTTGACCTGTGCCCTATGGTTCGGGCAGTATTATAGAAACGGCTGCAATCTGCGATGTGGCGACTTGGGTTTTACTTTCTGCGCCTGCATGTATTGTTTGGATGCTTGCTTTCCCTCCTCTAAAAGACGTTTCAGAATTTGACTCCAAATTCCAGTGGTCAAAGCCTCGGTGTTTCTTTATTAATATTTGAATTTGTCAAAGCAAGAGGGATGCTTCAGTCTGTTTCAAGTTGGTCTGTCGTACGTATCCTTACAGTTGCCCGCTAACTGTTTCTCCGCTGTCAAGTAACAAACTGTCAAACGAAAACAAACTGGCGACAGCAAGTGCCCCTGGTTGACGCCGTAGAAAGGGTAGCTGTCATGACCATGACAACAAACTGTCAAACTAAAACGGTTTGAGAAAGTCTTAGAGTAATTGCAAGAGCTAGAGTTGTCAGCGAAGTTTAAATGCTTCCCCAAAACTAGAATGGACGTTAATGCGAAAGAGTTTTCTATTTCCTAAGTTCATACGGATTGGCAGTTGGACTTTTTAATTTTTACCCTAATTTTCACTTGCACCAATTACTTGAAAATTTATATCAAGAAAAAGTATCATGTAAAATGATCTTTGTATATGTTGGATATTTTAAAATAATTTGTTTTTGAATTTAGAAATCATGTTATGATAAAAATTATTCGTCTAAAAATCTGTTTTATATAAACCACTAACACTTTGAGATCTGTTTATAAACCTTTGAGAACATGAATTATATTAACATCTATTCTAAAAATTAATAATTTTTTAAATATATATATTTTGCATCCTACATTTGTTTTAAAGTTATGATTTCATAAGTTTAAAAAATTTTACTTATGAGAGTTACTCTCTAAGCAATTCGATAAGACTTGTTTAAAGTTTTTAAGATACCATATTTTAAAGTATTTAGAAATGTCTCAATTTGATCTCTTTTGCTTTTACCCTAGCTATTTGGATGTCATTTTCTTAATTATGGTTAGTCTACTTGTTAGGCGTTGTGGTTTACGGAATTTTATTTTATTTTTAGATTAAGTTCAATATTGATTTGGATGCAAGTTTGACTGTTCAACAACTCACTCATTAGTTGGTGTATTATCCCTTTGTCAATGAGTAAAGTTTGAATTCCCCTCCCCCACTCTTAAAAAAAAAAAAACAATGATTTGCAAGAAAATAATATTAAATTTTAAAAGGAATTTCTTGATATTTAGAGTAGTTTTTGTAACTTTGAAATTTAACATTGTGTTTATATATGAAAATGATGTACAAACCTTGTGAACATATGAATAGTTACTTTTAACATTAAGCTGATACATGAAATCATTTATTTTAAACTATTTGGATAAGTTGTGACCTGGATATATGTTACGATGTTCGCACTTTGAATTATAAGTTAAACTGTAAATTTGAGATGTGACAAAAATTACCTAAAACATACGAAATTTTTGTTTTCAGAGACATGTATTTTAAGACAAAAATAATGAAAAGTAAATGTATCAAAAGTGAATTTATATGACCTTAATGGGGACCGTTCTGAAAAATTATTCTTCAGGAAAGGTTACACATTGGCTTATTAAGAAAGATACAAGAATATTGATAGGAGAATCTGCACTTAGCATAGTTACTGATACAGGCTAGTTGATAAGGAGATGTGCTAGGAAAACAAAATTAAATATAAATGCTTCACTTTTTTTGTTTGGAAAAAAAAAGAGATATGATTGGTGACATTATTAGATAGTTTCATGCATAAATATATAAACAAAAAGAGAAGAACACAACATTTTTCTGAAGGCATATACAAAAGATAAATAAAATTGACATAATATTTAAAAAGGCTCTTAAATTATTCAAGAAAATTTAAATAAATTATTATATTTTTATTATTTTTAATCAAATTTTTATATTTTATTTTAAATCAAATAAACTGTTATATTTTTATTTTAAACCAAATAAGTCCATATACTTTACTTTAAATCAAATAAACTCTTATTGTTAATAATTGATTTAGTCAAAATGTTATTTATCATTTTAAATTGCGTGACGCTGACATGGTATATTAACATATCATAATTGATAATTATATAACATGCTGATATAACGATAATTGATTATAGCATAATATGTTAATTTGGCATAATAATATAACCATGTGACATTTTTCACCTTCCACATCAATGCTACATAGATATAAATGATAAGTAGTATTTTGATTAATAATAATTAGTAAATTATTAATTATAAATACTTATTTGATTTAAAATAATAGTATAGAGACTTAATTTAACACAATAAAAGAATGGTCAAAAGACCTATCCCATCCCCGTACTCTTTAATTTTATTTAATTTAGTCCCTGAACTCAAAATAAAAGCAATTTGGTAATTAATTTTGAAAATTTATTCAATTTAGTCATTTCTCCCAATAGCATCTAATTTGGTAGTTAAAAAGGATGACGTTAGCCATGATGTGGCATATTTTGATAACATTGTGTTGAGATGATGACGTAACATGCTATGTGGCACTAACGTCATGACATGGCAATGCCAAGTGACACTAATATGAGAATATGATAATGTTGACATGGTAGATGAAAAATTTCAAAATAAAAAATTCTATTACGTCATAGGGACTAAATTGAATAAAAATATATAATACAGAGATTAAATTAAATAAAATTGAGATGTTGATGAACCAAATTGAAAAATATATTTGACAAATACAAGTCTTTAAATAGATTATTGATATATTTATTAATAAATTAAATATTTAAATGTAAAAGATTTATGGTATTAAAATATATATATTTTCTTACTTGATTATTTAATTATATAATGATGACATTAATTTATCATTTTTTGTAAAAATTAAGTTTGAATTCTCCTTCTATAAAAAAATTTAAAAAAATTTCATATCTAAAGTTAAATTTAGATGAATAACTGCATTACGTTATAATAAAATAATATAAAATAATTAAATAAATTATTTTTTCTTTTATTTATAATAATGTAAATTTTCAATTTAAAATTTATTTAATTTAGTTTTCAACTTGAGCTAAGCTCAAATTAGCAAAATAAGCTGATTTAGTTTTTCTTTTCAAAAAATGACGAACAAAGATATAGAGTTAATGATGATTATAAAAATAATTCTTCATTCTAACTTGCTTAATTTGGATATAATAAATCTCTTATTGCAACTATAGAATTTGAGCTCCACCTTTTTAATTTTTTATTTATTTTTTATGTTTTTACTTTTTTAATATTTCAAGTTATATTTTGTAAGTTAAAATTTTTTATATTAAAGACTACATTTATGATTGATAAATTTAAATATAATTGTAAATATTTATGCCATTTTATTTTATTAATAAATTTTTTATATATCTAAATTAATAATTTAAATTTAAATTTAACAGAATTGATTATGGTATTTGAACTTAAATAAAATTGTTTTATAAGAAAATTTGAGTAAATTTAAATAAAAGGTAATTTGAGCAAGAGTTGAATAATTTCAAATGAATGGGTATTTGTAAATTATGAAAGTTGAATTTAAATCTATCTATTTTACTAATTTGAGTTCAACTCAAGTTAAAAACTAAAGTTAAATAAAATTTAAATTTTTATACTATTACAAACAGAAGAAAAAAAATTATTTTGTCATTTTATATTATTTTATTATAATGTAATACAAGTTACTCATCTAAATTTAACTCTAACTATACAATTTTTTCAAAATTTTTTTTATAGAATGGGAATTCAAATTTAATTTTTACAAAAAAGATAAATTACTGTACATATTCTAAAATTAAATAGTCAAGTAAAATATATATATATATATATTTTCACGCCATAAATTTTTTACATTTAAATATTTGACTTTTTAATAAGTATATCGATAATTTGCTTAAAGATTTGTATTTTTTAAATATTTTTTTAATTTAGTCCCTTAACATATTAATTTTATTTAATTTAGTCTCTATATTATATATTATTATTCAATTTAATCTCTATAACGTGACAAATTTTTTTTATTTTAAAATTTTTTTAATTGGTCACATGATACTAACATATCAGCATGTCAGTACCACGTCAGCATTGTCATGTCATCATTTTAGTGTTACGTGGTATTACCACATCATCACGTTGTTACCAAGTGGCATGCCACGTCATCATCTTAATACCACATCATTAAAAGGTGCCATGTTAATGTTGGTATTATCAATTTTTAATGACAAAATTGGATACCGTTAAGAGGAGAGACTAAATTAAAAAAAATTTTAAAATTAAAAAATTAAATTATTTTGATTTTAAGTTCAAGAATTAAATTAGATAAAATTGAAGAGTACATGGACTCAATAAGTCTTTGATTATTAAAAATAAAAATTTATTTAAATTTTTTAAATAACTGAAAAACTTATTTGAGCAGTATGTAAATAATAATTAATCATCAATTTTTGTGAAAAAATAAATATATTTTTTACAGTAATTATTTGAAATTTAAATGATATCGTTGGATACTGAGTAGATAAATGAAAGTTATTGAAATATTAAAATATAAAATGAAAATTTTTATTATTGGAAGAGTATACTTGCGGTCGTGGTTGCATATTTACTGGGTCAAACAATTAAATAAAATGAGAAGTCCTTTTCACAGGGCTTTGGTTGAGCGAAACTTCTTGGGCCTCTGATCCACACTGGAAGTTTGTCACTCTGTCCACCCGTTAGCGGAAACATTTTATCTGCCACGACACTTTTGTTCCCATTTTTTAGCCGTCCAAAACCCCGCGTGTAAATTAATCTTTGTCACTGTCATAAATGACGTCATCTGCCACCTAATAAATGGGTCACTTTCTTTTATTTGTCCCTTTGCTATCCTATAAAATAATACCATGTGCCCGCTCTTAAAATCTCATAACCCCGTGTCCGTGTGTGATCGGTGTTGGCAGCTGGCATGCCACGTTGGCATCCTTACAGGTCTCCGTATAAAAGGCCTCTTTACTCTCTTTTCCCTTGTCCGACGAGAATCGAAATCTGGAAACTCATATGCGAAGACCAAGTTAGAAGTCCGGAAATTTCAAAAATACATCTCAACAATTACCAGAAGTCTATACCACGCTTATGCAGAGGTGCATGAAAAGGCAGAGACTTAGCCCAGCTCCGCAGTCAATGTCCCCGTCACCACCACCGCATCACCGTCTTTCTCCTGAACAAGAACTTTCCGTCATGGTCTCGCGCCTTAAAAACGTCATCACTGGTTCCACGCCCACCACCTTCACCGGAACCGCCGTTGATTTTCCTTTCCAATTCGGTGCCTCCGGGGCTTCTACTTCTACTGTTGCTGCTGGGTACAACGCTGATTGTGGAAACATGGTACTCCAAGCGAGTGAAGTCATGGACAAGTGCCACGTGTGCAAATTTGACGGTTGCCTCGGTGCAATCTTTTCCCGCCAAGTCAGCAAGAAGTAAAAAAGGGGAGTACTACTAAAACTAAACGAGTAAAGAAAAACTACAGGGGCGTAAGGCAAAGGCCATGGGGCAAATGGGCCGCGGAGATTCGAGATCCGAGACGCGCTACACGGGTATGGCTTGGAACCTTCAACACGGCGGAAGAAGCAGCTCGGGCTTACGATAAAGCAGCCATTGATTTCCGTGGACCCAGAGCTAAACTTAACTTCCCATTTCCTGATAGCAGCAGCAATGGCACTGTCACAACAACACCACCACCACCACCAGGAGCAGCGACAACAACAGTAACAACTGCTGTTGGGCTTGATCAAGGAAACAGTAGCTCGTTACATGTGCAACAAGAGAGTGAGAGAAATGCGATCAGCTTGGAAAGGAACGCGGAATTGGGTTTCGGGACTGATCAGTTTTGGGATGGAATAGGCGAATTAGATGAGATTCAGCAATGGATGATGACGATGACTGATTTTGGTGGGGACAATAATTCGTCAGATTCTGCTACAACCACCGGAAATGCTAATAGTTATTAAGTTTGAGGCCAAATATTATGAATCTGGTGTAAGCAGGCGACTTCATCTTCTACATATTTCTTTCCTCATGGCTTCCGGTAAAGAACTCAAAGTTATGCTGTTTGCAGAGGAGGTTTATTAAATTTTATGCGGGCGGTTGGCTCTTTCTTATTTTATTAGTTGCAAGAAAGAGTTTAATCAAGGTGATAAAACTTTGTGGGATGTTACGTGATTAAATTAGTGCATAATTGTAACTTCTCTTTGTCTACTAGATAGGACGTACTTCTGCTGTAGATCATTCATTATTAATCACTACAATCTCTTTGCAAGATTCGGGTCTTTGTTCTTCCCCTTTTTTTTTTTTTTGCCTCTTCGCTTTTTGACCTTCTGGTTTATGGGAAGAACGCTGCAAAATGCCCAAAAAGCAAAAAGCGTACTTGGTTCATTCTGGCGGCTTAGAACGCACCGGACTAATTCAAAGACTTGCCTTGGGACCCACAAACCCCGAATGAGATTGCATACGAAAGGAACGTTTCGTCTCACCTGACGAAAGCAGCACAGTGAGTTTCGCTTCTGCCCACGAGGTGGGGACCGCGTTGTAATCATGATCCAGAAGATCAAAAAAAACCCCCGACACGTGCAAACGGAATGTTTCGCAAGTGGGACCCTGTAATTCAACACGTGCAAAATGCTTGTTCCAAACTCCAATATTTTAAAGTAGAATAAGGAAACAAGTTATGCTAATTGAGCACAATAATACTATAAAGAAGATTTTCGGTTTTGATCACGTTTGACATCTGCCCAATTTCATCACGTGCTGATTAATTAGTTTACGATTAGAGAAACCGTAAGCATTAAATAAATGAAGAGATGACCTGAGATTCCTGCTTCATATTTATGAGATAATTGTATAAACGTCAGAGAGAGAGAGAGAGAGAGAGAAAGTGGCGGAATCTCACCCCCGCCGGGTGGTTGTATTTCAAGTCATTTCAATCGGAGTCAAAAGTACTAACTAGTAGGTGCGTGCTAGTGGAGGGGTCTTATTTCTACTTGATTTTAAAGAGCAACAACACGCTTCCTTGTTCATCCCACTCGTTGCATCTGGTCTAATGGTGTGATTGTGGACTTAACTTTCACGGGGTTTGGATCTTAAATTATAATAATTATTATTATTAAAAAAATAAATTATAAATGATAAATGTGATAAAAAGAAAATGAAAGCTATACATTTCTTTTTAATTTCCATTAGCCCAATGCGTTAAAAACTCTCATTTATGTTTAAAAAAACATTTCATATTTATGTTTTAAGAAAATTGAAAACTCTCCCACTTTGGAGAACGGAATAAACATTAGGACAAACTTTAGTTACACCTTTTATAATTTTAACTTTTTCCACATTGTACCAATATTTTTTCTCAATTTGCATTATGTAGATTTTTTTTTTTTGCAATTAGTATCTTGTGAAAAAGTTTTATTTTATAAGAGTTTACTCTTTTTTTTTCAATTAGTATCTTGTAAGTAACTTTTATTTTATAAGAGTTAAGTTGTTAATTGTATCTGATAAAATTATCAAAATATTCTTCATTTAAAGTTAATCTATTTGTTCACATTTAAAGATATTTTTGTAATTTTATTGAATAAAATTTACAATCTAATCCCTTAGGGGAGTAAAAGTTATTCACAATATATTAATTGAGAAAACAATATCTTTAGGATATTAATTGAGAAAAAAATTTATAATATATCAAGTGAAAATCACAAAAAATTTAAATAAAGTTACATCCGGAGTTACTATAATTTATCATAACAATTTTTTTTTTTAAAAAATGACCATATAAACAAGAGAATATGATACGAGGAGAGAGTAATTTGACCTTTTGTTAGAATTACAATACTCGGTAATCTATGCGGTAAAGTGTTTTTTATCATCCTTTTTTATTTTATGATTTGTTCATATCGGAAAAAGCTGCATGGCCCAGGGGCCGGGTGGACTCAGGAGTTGGCTAAAGCCAAAAGTTGACGGCTTGGTGCTGAATTGCATCAGCATTGTCCCTTGACGAAGAGACCAAGCAAAAAGACCGTGCAAGCTCACGTGGAGGAAACACGCCCGTTGTCTGGCACTCCGAGGAATTCCCTTTCTTAGGTAAGTTTCTCTCCTCCCAGTTCCGACCCAACAACAGTCTTTACCCCCAATGGAATTTTCCACGTGATCAACGTGGAGACAACAAAGATCCACTTCATATATTTTTTATAGGAGTTTTTCTTCAATATCCTAGTATTATTGTTCGGACCAAAGTCTTATCAATCCTAAGATGAGTATCATCGGTCATTTAAACGTAAAGACAGAGACGCAATCTCAAACATCATGGTATTGGGAATTTGGGATTGATATGATTCATGGTCTCCCTCTGAGGCGAAGATTACTATTTCCGTGCAGGAACAGACAGCAAATGCGTTCAAAATGAGCCCCATTTCTTGAAGAACTAACAGACCCATGTCGGCTGAGATTTGATTTGACATTGCAATTAGATTGCAAAACTATAAGTAAGTGTAGCATTTCAGATTAAAAATTGATTGAACTCATTGATATTTGCAGCAGCGATCCAACTAGCCATACATAACGTAAATCTAAATGGGGTCGGGGCACGTTAGTTTCTCACTTTGTCAAGTATCAATCAATGTGAAGTTAGACCTAGTTATGATAATCAAAATTGGGTCTAATGGCTTTTCGTGATCTTCACCTCCTCCACCTTCATTGGTCTTCTTTTAGTGCGGCTGTTTGTTTCAATTGGATGGAAAAAGTCAGGACTATTAGCCCAATAAGAGCCCAATTAGGTCAGCTTAGATAACATGCTGAGTCTCATCTGATCACAATTCAATGGAATTGGAACCATCATAACCCAATAAAGGGAAAGGTCTCCGCCCATCGCAATCCTAAAGGTTTGGGCCAAATCTCTGGTTTTGTCGGCCTCAATTGCACCTCAAGCACAAATCACACGGCAATGGATTGTATCCTAGTCTCTCTTGCCTTTGGTGAACCAAGCAAACTAAAATTCACTAGCAAGAAATTCACAAAAGATAATTTACAAGCGCAAGAACAATCAATCCCAGCTCTTTTCACCAACTATAAAGCCTATAACTATTTGCAAATGTATCAACCAGAGAATGAGAATCATAGATACAAAAACCCAAGATTTGGTATGCTATGGGGTTAAAAAAGAAGAAAAAAATTACACAAATTTAGATACAGAAACAAAGCATATTAATGCCGTAGAAGCAAGCCTACAAACAGATGGGAGTACAAGCATCTGAAGTAAGGTGTTGAGCAATGTCATCGTCTGCCAGAAAGGCTGATCGAGCTGACTTTCATGGGAGTTGCCACAACCAGCGGAGCTTCTGGTGAGTCACTAACAGCAAACTTGTCATGCATGAATCGAGACTCTACAATAGACTCGTCCTTCAATACAATCTTGTAGCAATAACAACTCTTGAGGCCCTGCTGATTCCGATAGCATTCATGAGCACTGTTCTTCACTTGCTGGAAATCCCATATCACACTGAACTTGCCCACAGTTGCAACTAGGTGACGCTCTTGTTTACCATTCTCAGTGACCTAAAGTGAGTGACAAGATGTAGTATCAGAGTGGCAAGATGTAGCAACACAAATGGACACTTAAACTATCCAATATCAATGATTAAGAATGGAGAAAAATTATTTAATAAGATTCACCATGACATTATATGACTTAAAGCGAACACAAAGCCTGGCCTGGCCCAAGCAACTAACAATTTTCAGACATGTGTATAGGCTCTTCAGGTAAAACAAATATGCCAATGACAAATGCAATAATTATGATGCATTTAGAAGGACATTCATAATGAAGAAAAACATCAAGCTAAACATGAATGAATATATGATGTGAGGTTTAGGACATCAAGGAAATATAAAAAGAAAGATTAAATAAACCTATTAGGCTAATACATGAGACATCAAATGATATGCACATTAAATAAGAATCCAGACATAAAGAAACACGAAGTTCAGTTCAGCAGATTACAAGAAAAGGCTGAAAAATAATAACGTGGATGAAAACTTATAAAGGAATGTGTCACGTATTAAAGTAATTTGATCTTACCCATGAGAAATGGCCACCATGAAATTTATTATGGTTCCCAGCAAGATGCGAATCCAAAGGAGTCAACTTCAACAATCTGGGTGCCGGAATCCTATTCCCCATTCTACCACTAAATCCAGTCTTTGTCTTTCCATCTTTATCAGTAAAAAGAGTGCAAATAAGAATCAGATATGTATCAGTTGTGCCCAACACCCACTTCCCATCATAGGTAACATCTACATGAGTTATTGGCGAGCCAAGTCCTGGGAAGGCAGTCTTGGCCTGCCTCATTGAGGTCTTTGAATACAACCTGATCTTCCCATCAAGCGACCCAACCACAATGGATCCATCACCAGTACTTGCAAAGCACTGAAAATTCGTCCCTCTTGAGAACTGATGCCCTTGTGTCCAATGCAATACAGGTGAACCACTTGTGGCAATATTCTGGACCATCCCTTTCCTATCTCTCATATCCCATTGGCACAACCTATTATCATCCAAGCCCAAAAAGGTTGATTCAGATGGATCCAATTGTGACCCTTTGGTATCGTTGGTAATATCCCTCATCGTAATATCAGTCCCATCCTTCTCAAACTTCCATTCTGTAACAATCTTCCCTGTCTCTATATCAACCTGCTTAAGCCCAGTAGCATTAGGCTTCCCTTCATTCGCCGGACTCATAAGCATCATATTAGTCTCAGCTCTCATCAGCAGAGCCTTTTTCGGGGTTGAATTTTCCATATTGCCCCCACTCCTATAACTCCCACCATCAAACTTAACACAAATACCTTTCCCATGAATCCCACGGTTAAAGTTCCTGTAAACCTGAACACCCAAATCATTTACCAGGAAACTATTATCCAATGCACCTAACGCCAAACTCTGAACACCTCCATTTGCCGCCTCCTCAAACTCCTCCATCAATTCTTGGCTCCCTTTCACAGGAGTTGAATCCAAATTATGATCCTCTGCATCTTCCCACATCGAATCATCTGCTGCCTCGGGTTTCAACCACCCCATAAACTCCTTCCCATAGGCCTTAACCTTATTCTCCTCACTAGCTTCCATGCCATAAACATTCTCAAACAAACAATTTTGAAATTGGGTCACAAAATTCCTATACCCTTCATCAGTTAAAAACTTCAAAGCCCAAACAGCTTTATCAACAAAGTCAACTCTTTTTTGATCCCCAAACATTTTCAATTGCATTTCAGTTGAAACCCTAGCCCTAACTTTAGACCCCACTTTCAAAACCCACCAAGACTCCCCCTTTCCTCCTCCACCATCTGATTCATCACCATCCTCATCATCATCACCGTTAATTTTCGATGTCTTGATGAAATTATACGAAGTGAGTTTATCAGAAACTACCCATTTGGCTTTGGGGGTGTTTCCTCCTATGTGAAGATAGAGCTTTACTGGGTTTTTGAGATTAGGATTTTGCTGTTGTTGAGGAGAATTATATTTCAGCTTAAGGGATTTGAGTTTAACATCTATATCGTCGATGCTTTTGTGAGTACCTGAAGAGGAAGTAGAAGAAGAAGATTGAGGGTTTTGGTGATCGCCTGAAACGTCGTCGTATTGCTCCTCCTCCTCCTCCTCTTCTTCTTCATAGTCTTCTTCGGATTCTGAGTCTGTGATGCGATCTTCCCGGCTTTGAGAAGTGCCCATTTTTCAGATTCTATTGATTTGCAGAAATGATTGAAAAGAGCAAACTTTCAAACTACTTTTGGGAGTTAGAGCTTATGATTGCCGATTCAGATTATGGTGTAGTCGGTTACTGCTTTTATAGACTAGACTTTGCCACTTTGGTGACCGGCTATTACCAGTTAGTACCTCCTTTCTCCCTTCTTTAGTCTGCCTTCTTCTTTTTCTTTTATACTTTGTTTTGTTTTTTTTTTATAATTAAAGAGATTCGAACCCTGCCTAAAAAATAGATGATAATATATTAATTAATAAATTAAATAATTAATTTTTTATTATTTAAAAAAATGATAACTAATTATCTAGCAAATAAGAGGCAAATTGGCTTAAGAATTTGAAAGGTTGATGTGTGTATTACCTATTAATATTTGGATGAAAAAATCGACATGATAGTAATAATCAAGATCTTTGTAAGGTTTGAATTTCTTATTTGAATTAAGATTGATCGAATTCAAAAAATTTCTCAATCAAATTCATCATGATCTATTTTGATTACGTATCAATTTTAAAATGAGAAAAAGTTGATTTAAGTTCAAAATTAAGAATTTTAGAAATTAAGCTACTAATTGTATTGCCATTCATAAAGTCTGTTTACATAACTCTCTCTCTCTCTCTCTCTCTCTATATATATATATATATATATATATATATATATATATACTTGCTTCTAATTTTGTATTTACATTTGTTAAGCATCACCTAATCATTGGATAAAAGAAATAAATTAACTAATTCCTAATCAATTAATTATTAGAGCATATTGTGATTAATTTTTAGATTTGTTAATTGTTAATATATATTACTCACATATAAATTATTATGTATAGTTCACGTGTTATTTTATAATTTAATAAATTTATTATTTTATATAATAACTAATTTTTGAATTCTTTAATTATTAATATATTCCACTTATATATATATATATCTTATCATATGCAGTTCTCGTCTATAATTTAATAAATTCATTATTTTACAATGGCTTTCAAGGCTATTGGCCTTTAAGACTGTTGGCAAGTGTGAATGGAGACAACAAACTAATCATATTTCTTTTCTAAATTGGGGGCCAATGATAATACCCAAAGCATTGCAGTGCTATGTTCAATCCCAATAAGGCAATTGGAAACAGGTGTAAGGTGATTTTAGTTTGTTTTGAGTTCATTTGAGAAGACATTGAATTAGAGGTTGGTAGCTAGTATTACCTAATAGCAATATTAAAATTTATTTAACATTTCCAATTACTTTCAAAACCAGGGTAGATGGGAAAACCGAGGGGACCCATACCCATCAAACGAGAAATTTTAAAGGGGATTATTAATTATTAGTGATAAAATAAAATGCTTCCTTGATTTTGCTAAAGCACCGGCTATTACCGGTTACCAGCGTCGAGAGTAACGTCGTGCGACATCTTCGCAGCTAAGCAAAAACGCCGCGTTGGCCAAAGCTAGCCTTTGCCTCGCGTTATGAGAACGCAACCATTAGTACGTGTTTGGGTCGCGTCGTCAGAAAGTCCGAAACATGGAGTAAAGCTTTGGATTTTGCTTCCCCATTAAACATATAAATAACACTTGAGGGCAACGGCTTACAACTTTTTATATAGAAAGAAGCTGTAACATAACATGATTCATAGCACAAAAAATAACAGTTTATGTTTGAACTCTAGCGTTACATAGAATTACATAATCTAAATTTCCAAGCATTTTAACCAGAACTGTTTAACCACAAATACTTCGGCATTGGCATTCCTTTCGCTCCATCCCCTACGAAGCAATGCCTCGCGAATCTACATTGTAATTACAGAACACTAATCTTCATTACTGAAAGACAAGAGAAGCATAGGAAGCCCGAAAAACAATGAAAGGATGAAGATAAGACAGCAACTTCACCATTCTCATAAAGCATCCCGAGCAGCAATCCGGCATGTTATGGCATCTGCAAGGGTGGATACCCCTAGCTCTGGGCCAGTTATTTTGTAGTGCTGAAGAATTACCAGAATATAATCAATTGATCATCGAGTGTTACAAGAAGGATAAATGTGATGAATAGAAACAAAATCAAATCCGGGAGATCAAGTTCACAAACCTTTTGTATCTGAGCTTGGTCTGCTCTTCCTTCCAAATCCTCTAAATCAATCTCTTTTCCCTTGATAAGCTTCTCCACAGCTTTCATCTACCAGGATTCTAATAAATCATTAACATATTGTAGAAGGGATATATTTGAAAACAAAATCAGTGAGTGCAGATGATGTAGTATTACCTCATCAGGAGAAGCATTAAATCGGGCAGCAAGGATGTAACTTGAATTGTCAGAGATACCACATCTTTTCAACGACTCTGTAATCTGGAGATAAATTTTGTTTCCGTGGTTGTTAAATTTCAAAAACTGCAAATTGGGTAATGAACTAGAGTCATAAATGGTTGAAGAACATTACATGCTTAGATCCTGAGTAATTGTAAACAAGTTCAGAATGTTGTGTGCGTGTAGTCAATGACTCCCGCGACTTGACAATAAGTGTCTTATGTGCCGCAGCTAGAACAGGGAAAACATCTGGAATCTGTCTCAATCATCAATACACATGATATCAGAAAGCCTATAGGAAAAAGAAAATCTGGACATTGAACTAGAGCAAAATTAGAATTGGCTAGAAATAAGAACTCAGGAATCATACAAGTGATGCATTAAGAAATGCAACTTCAGGATCAAGTTTCCCAGATTGCATTGAGTCTAGGAGTTCCCTGCGAGATGAGAAGCAAATTTAGGAACTAAGTCTATATAACAAACTCTTTCCCTTATCTGGAGAAAAACAAAAGTGTTTCTTCATTTCTCTTGGAGGCATTTTTTATCAAATTTGACAAGTTAAGTACCCAATGTTAGCACATAAAAGAATACTTGTCAGTACTATTTTCTAAGAAATCCCATACTAAAAGAGCTTCATGGGGTCTGAAAATTCTCGAATAGGCTAACGGAATTAAAGACCAACACCTCATATTGGTTGGTACAGCCCTTAGATACCACAGTTGCATAAATTATCAACAAATTTGAGAGTTTTTGCAACAATTAGAATGGTATAAAAAAACAGCAAATAGAAACCACTGCATAAATCTTTCATTAAACTAATAAAATAAAGCGGTTGCCTTTGAGATAAGGAAGGAAAGGGAGAGAGTACTTGGAGTTGGTGACGTCGGTGAAGAGGGAAAGAGAGAGAGTGTTGCCATTGATTTCAAAGACCTTCATCTCTATTTTCCGCTCTGCCAAACCAACAATCAGAGCCTTCGAAATGGGCGCTAGGGTTTTAGGTTGCGTATAAACCAAATACGGCGCGTTTGATTGGAAAGACAAAGAAAAAAAATTGGATCTTGCGCGTCAGGTAGGGGTCGAACCTACGACTTTCTGCTTAGGAAACAGACGCTCTATCCACTGAGCTACAGACGCTTTGGTGGTGTCTAGTGTAACTGTAACAGTATATATTTATGTAAATCTTTATCTGTTTAACGCATGATTTTATTCAAACCATATGGATGGTTTAACAAAAATAATAATAAATAAAAGGATGAATTCTTAATATACAGATCCAATAAAAACCGTAATTAGCTATTACATAGTTTTTTAATAAGTGAGAGAATGGAAAGGTGGGTCATGGGGGTGACCTGGTCAAGCATGTTCATCGATTCTGAATTGCATTTCTATCTTCATGCATAGCCCTTGACGTGTCACCCTGAAGAATTAGAAGCATCCGGGTATCCAACCTTTCCTTCTCATTCCCTCTCCCAAGAAAAACACAAAAAGAGAACCTCTCAAATTCATATTCTTTCTGGAGGTTAATTTGCTTTCCCCCTTGACAATGTCTCTCTCCATCTTCCTCTTATGGCTGGTCAGCATTCCCTTGTTGGTCCATTCTTCTCCTGATCAGCCTAGAGGTAACATATTTTACCAATGCATGTATGTTTCTCTACAAAATATATACATTCGTAATGGTTCAGGATAAGAAATACACATTTTGCCAATTTGGCTACTTTGTTTTGTCTTTTAATTTTACCTGCAGAGCATACTTTCTGGGTCATTGAAGTATATGTTTCTTTCTGTTTCTTTTACCCGTGGTCGCCTTGCCTTGATGCAGGTCTGTTGGTAACCTGCGGCTCCTCGGTTAAACAGACTGTACCCGACACCAAAGTCACTTATATCCCTGATGATGGCTTCACATTCGTCGGAAACAAAACAGCTCTTAAGAACAAAGATTTGCTGCCCGTATTGACAACATTGCGATACTTTCCCGACAAGTCAGCCAGAAAATATTGCTACAAATTCCAAGCAATTAAAGGAGGGAAATATCTAGTGAGAACTATCTACTATTATGGAGGTTTTGATGGAGGAAAAGAGCCGCCGGTTTTTGATCAGATCATTGGAGGGACTAAATGGAGCATTGTTAATACCACGGAGGATTATGCAAATGGACTGACTTCATTTTATGAGATTATTGTGGTTGCCCCTACCAAAACCCTGAGCGTTTGCCTTGCAAGAAACACGCACACGGCTTCCAGCCCTTTTGTATCAGCTATTGAAGTGATTACTCTTGATGATTCTATGTATAATTCCACAGATTTTGCTAACTATGCGCTTGTTACTGTGGCAAGAAGTGCCTTTGGAAATGAGGACAGCATCAGGTAAGGAAACTAAACCATTTCTTTCCCCTTCAGTTTGAAAGTTTGAATGCATAGAATGATTATATTGTTGTGTTTCTATATATGCATATGTGCAATCAATGATGGTTGCTTAGGAATCTGTCTGAGAAATAATAGTTTCCCCGCTAGAATAGATGCACTTTTAGAAATGTTATCTCAGGATAAAATGCCTGAAAAATAGAGTATGGCAATAGGAACAAATTGAATTCCCTAATTGGCTTTAGAAGAGAGTATTAGGGACAATATCACACATTTGGATTTAAATTAAATAGAGTTAATTTGAATTGCACTTGCAATTACCTTGAATTTTGGAAATGAAACAAAAGATAACAGAAGGAAAAAGGAATTATGTAGAACTACAAGCTTGGAAGAATTGATCAGGTGTTAAATGTGCAATCTTTGGAACCTAGCTTTCCAGATGATCCACAATATCGGCTGTGGCAACCATTCAAGGACAGTAACTCCGTTGTTTCAAGCCAATCCAGTGTAAGCACTTCAGAATTTTGGAACAAGCCACCAGCCAAGGCATTTGAAAGGGCAATCACAACAAGCCCAGGGAAGAAACTTGAAGTCCAGTGGCCACCTCTGTCACTTCCGAGCACCAACTATCACATTTCATTGTATTTCCAGGACAATCGAAAACCGAGCACAAATAGCTGGAGAGTCTTCAGTGTTTCAGTAAATGGGAAGACTTTCTACAGTAATCTCAATGTCACAACTGATGGTGTGACTGTGTATGCATCGCAATGGCCTCTATCTGGGCAGACACAGATCAGCCTGACTCCTGATGCTAAAAGTTCTGATGGGCCCCTAATCAATGCTGGTGAAGTCTATCAGATTCTGCCTCTTGGTGGAAGAACTCTTACAAGAGATGGTAACTGTCTCTCAGTCACTTGCTTCACCAACCATGCATCCATCATAATACTCCCTTTTTGACTGGTTTTAATAATGTGTGCTCTTTGGATTTCCCAGTGGTGGTTATGGAAGAATTGGCGAGAAGCTTCGACAACCCACCACCTGATTGGACAGGTGATCCATGCCTGCCTCGGGAGAACTCATGGACAGGAGTTACTTGTTCTAACGATGAAATGGCTAGAGTTGTCTCTATGTAAGTTGTGCTTAATTACTAATATCATTTCAAGCAGCCCCTTGAGCACAGTTATTATCTCTAAAAAGGGGTGCGAAAAGTATATTATAGCACATATTTGGTCACTTACATACTGATTGTGTCGCTGTATTTCTCCTTTTTCTTCCATTTTTTTCCCTTACTGATATGAAGGGATCTTACAAACTTTGGGCTATCTGGCGTTCTACATCCAAGTATAGATAATTTAACTGCACTCCACCATCTGTAAGTAAACTAGCTTCTTCAGTTATGCCACCAAACTCTCCTACCTCCTCACCTGTTCTTTGCTTGCAAGTTGCAATGATTGCTATTCATTGGAATCATCTGCTTGCAGTTGGTTAGGTGGGAATCACATCTCTGGTTCCATCCCAGAAATGAATTCATTGGGTCGGCTTGAAACTCTGTATGTTCTCTGACAAATCCTTGCTGACTGTATTCCCTGCTATATTTTATTCTCTGCTTTATTCAATTTATTGCATTAAATTAATCTGGTGTTGTTCATTATCCCTGGAAGGCATTTGGAGAACAACAATTTTACAGGGCCAATCCCCATATCGTTGGGCAAACTTGGGAATCTTCGTGAGATGTAAGTGGGTGCCAGTGAGAACAAAAATCGAAATCCTTAGGAAAGAGTCTCCTTTTTCATTTCAAAACATTAACCTGATGGTTTGTGAATGGTGACAGATTGCTTCAGAACAACAATCTTGATGGTCCGATCCCTAAAGCACTACAACGAAAAAAAGGCATAAATCTTCAGTAAGAACAATTCCTTAATCTCTCTCTCTATCAGAATGAGTCTGATTTGCTTTCTCCAAAGCTTATGGCAAGACTTAATTTGGATTGCACCAATGATTATGCTTCTGGTTTTAGGGTGTCCCCTGGAAATAGTCTATCAGCATAATGCTAACGAAGAAGGTTACAAGAGACAGGAACAAAAGTTTCAGCACCAAGTATAAGAATGCATTGGGACTGCTGGGAAGTGGGAACCAATTGCAGCAGGAGGACAGTGGAGAGAGATCCATTGGCTGCTTTGTTTCTTCCGGGAAGCTCTTAGATATTTCTGTGTGTCTGATCTCACCCTGTAATTATGCAATGCTAGAATTGCTTGGTCTTGGTAAATCAAAATTGAGCTGAGGAAATACTGTAACTATACACAAAAATCCTGTATACAGTAAAAAACATACTGCTTGCATTACAGATACTACTTAAAAACTCCTTTGACAGTTAAATGGTGAAAGCTGATAGCCAATGTCTCTTTGATCTTTTTGTTTATTTCTTATTATTTAATCAACTTTTAGTGTGTAAAAGGGTCAACTGATATTGTGACCTTGTACGATTAGGACCAAAAATCTAGTTAGAGAATTAAGAAGTGGGCCCGCCAAAATCCTCTTGGGTTAATCCACAGCCAAAACTGCGGCGAAGCTTTGCAAAATTTCCCATTCTTGTCGGTCACCAGTCTCCGCTCTCCAAATTTTGCCTTCCCACTTTACACTTTCTCTGCGTCCTTTAAACGATACAATCATTAGTAGAATCGTTTCAAAGTTACCTTTTGTATTTATTTTTACCCGAATGTTTCCTCCAAACCCTAGCCTTTTTCACGCAAAGCCATCCCCACTACCCCCTTTCCCATCCAGGACCTCCGTCCGCTGCTCCGCCACCGGCGAAATTCCCGCCGGCCCAATATTCCCCAAGTGGTTCCACTTCCCGACCACGACCACGGCAGGTTCCGACATTTTTGGAGGAGGTGTCCGAATCGGACAAGACAACTTAGAAGCTCCCGCTGGTAGCAGCATTAAGGTTAAGAAATGGTCGAGGAACAGAGAGAGTTATTTGAGTAATGACGATGATCCTCTCCCTCTTCCCATGACTTACCCTGATACTTCCCCTGTTACCCCAGAGGAAATTGATAAGCGACTCCAATGTGATCCCAAAATTCAGGTCTTTTTTTTTTTTTGTTTTGATCTTTCTAAATGTGGTCCAACATTAAAGTTTTAGCTTTAGAGATTGAATTGGTTTAATTTTTATTGGTTTTGTTTGTAGAATTGCAAAGAAGTGGTATATGAATGGACTGGGGAGTGCAGGAGTTGTCAAGGGACTGGACTTGTCAGCTACTACAATAAAAGAGGCAAAGAGATTATTTGCAAATGTATACCTTGCCTTGGAATTGGTACATGCTTCTTCTTCTTATTTGCTACCACAAAGTTGCAATTGAATTCCAATTTGGAAGGTTTCTGCCTTTTCTTATGACTTCAATTATGGTACTACTTAATTAGTTTTACTAGGAAGCATAGTTCAATATGTAAAGAGTAAAGCAATTTATCGATTCAAGTTAATATTTGATGAGAAGGAGATCTGGAGAGTCCCTCAAGTTACAACTATGGGTCATCTTATGGTCTAGATTTCAAACAAAAGTTGCTGGTTAAGGTTCAGTCATTTCATGTAGTAGAGATTTTAATATATGTTTAAAACTTCTTTTTTTCTCGTCCTCGTCCGCTGTTGGCACTGGATGTAAACCTGAAGCTTTCCAAGGTTTTGATGAACTGCGTATGTTGTTTTAACACATCTAATATGAATTTTGATGCTTTTTGAGACGTTTAAATCATATGCTTCTGTTTTCTGTGATTTTATTACTGTTCTGATCATGTCTTGAATAGTCCTATTGTTGGTAGTAGTTAAAATTTGATTAAAAGGAGTAAAGGTAACCCCTTTTACTATGTTTTTAAGAAGGAAAAATTAGAATACTTGACAATAGAGAAGTCATTAAGATTTTAACTTATCAAGAAACTTTATCTATGAGGGTGCTTTGAATGCTTTGGATTGAGTCATTATCTGATTACTTTTTAGATTCCAGGATCTTGTTCTCTGGCTCTGTGTGCATATCTCCGATATTGAGAAAATCTTGAATAACTTATGTTAATATTATTTGTTTCTTTAACTTTGGTTTTGAATGTAGACACTGAACAAAGTTGCTGAATTTGATTAGTAATTTTCTTTGATTGTTTGATGACTAATGTAACAAGTTTTTGGCTTTTGTTTTCAAATACCGACCAGAATGTTACATTCAATATTGTCACCATTGCAGGTTACGTGCAGAAGATAACAGCTCGTAAGGACATTGAAGTGATGGAGGATTTGGATAATGGAAAACCAGCGTGACACAAATACAGCTTTTCTTTTTAAGCGGGAATAATTTGTAAACAGCTTGTCTGAGTTCTATTCTTTCAACACCTTTTTCCACATTTCATGTAGATTACCCTTTACATGGATAGAGGTGAAAGGCAGCCTCTTGGCGAGAAAAGTTAGGTTAAAAGATTAGTCTGGTTGACACTTAACAGAGGCAAAAGGAATTGCTTGTAACTTTATCAAAGAATGTATTCTTAAGGTTCTCTTCCTCTGCCACATCTCTGTTCTCATCCTACTTTGTCACTTTAGAGTCTTTGTTCATTGGTGGACTGCAAGCTGATCGAGAAAGAAACAGTAACCTCAAAACCAATTTATCTCTTGCTTTAGAATTAGAATAACAAGTCTCACCTGGCCCGAATTCTATAAAATTGAAAGGCACCTGACTTCCGCAATTCAAACGTTGAAAGTTGTATACGTATGCGCAATGTACTAAGTATTGCATCCATACTTATATTTCTTGCTCTCATCCGCGCACAGCTCCAGCAGTCATGTGAACTTTCAGTTTTCTTGAATTCCAGTACAAGCTTTCAAGGAACAAGTTCTTGTGCAAACCATCTCGCTTATTTTCCAGAGACAGGCAGCACTTGGGCTTACTACCTGCTTTCCAGCTCGATTTAAATGAGCTGAGGGAAGTTTTTAATAAGTTTGATTCCAACAAAGATGGGAAGATTTCTCAGATGGAGTACAAGGCCATGTTGAGGGCTCTAAGGCTAGGAAACACGACTCGAGATGTGCCCACGATTTTCCAGGTGGCAGATATTGATGGAGATGGGTTTATCAATTTTAAAGACTTCGTGGAAGTACACAGGAGGAGTGGTGGGGTTAAGACCATGGACATACAGAACGCATTCCGCACTTTTGATCTGAACTGTGATGGAAAGACAAGTGCAGAGGAAGTGACGGAAATATTATGGAGGCTTGGGGAGAGGTGCACCCTCCAAGATTGCCAGAAAATGGTGGCAGCAGTAGACACTGACAGCGACGGTATGGTTGGCATGGATGAATTCATGACTATGATGACTAGCACTATGAAGCTTGCTTAAAAGGGCCCTTTCTGTTATATTTCCCGGGTTTCTTTCTTTAATAGCCCAATCTAAAAAATGCCGTTTCGTTGCTACCTTTGTTTTCTCCGTTTAGCAGATGACAGTTGTTTGTTTCAAAGAACAAAACTAGCAGCACATTTGTTTATATTCTAATTACAATCACTGTCCAAACTAATAGTCATGACGCATTGTTGTTCTGATTGATGATTTTGATATAACCAGGCTCGCTAAATACAGGCGTAGATCAAATCCACGCCAGGAATAAAGATCTCTGACTTTAAACATCATTTTCATAACTCTTCAAGTCAATCAGACATCTCTAAGATTGTGTTTAATTTTCGATTTTAACTCTAACAAACACACAGGATGGTTAACTGATGTTACATTCCATGTCAAACGCTTCAGTTGCACAATTACAACAGATTATCATGTGCATAACTGCCAACATTTTTTTTCTTTTTTGCATTTGAGATATTGGTAAATTCACTTGCCTTGGACCTACTGTTTAGTATTCACATCCCAACATTCGGTTCACTGTAACAGTCAAACAGATCAAGATGCCAAACCAATAACACATTACCACCAAGTTTATGTAACTCATGAATGACTAGAATACCGTTCGGACCAGTATGTTTTAGTTATTATCATTATATTTCTGAATCTTGGGGAAAACTACAATGGAGCCAAAGTTAAATGCCGTCTCTGTATTCCTCCGACTGAAAGTCTAATGAACTAGCCGCCACTTCTTGAAAGTTTCCACCCCTTAGCTTCTAAGATTATTTTAACTGAAGAAACAGAAATCTCCAGACAATTGAATTCAGAAAATGGTTATGTTGGAGGCAGTCACTAAAAACTTCGTAAAAAAAATATATTAATTGAGCATCAGAACAAGCAGAAGTGTTCCTAAGATAGTGAACCATTCACTTCCAAACACTAGCAACAACAGCTCTTCTGTTCATAGCGATGCATATCACCTAAAATTCTGGAACTTTACATGTCAAATCTAAAATGGGAAGAGTTCACAACATAAAAAGTGAGGCCTTTTACCAGTAATCACCACAAGAACATAAGCCATCCTTGAAATGATGGAAACGCTTGTTGTCTCTAATAATCAATTCCCTCCCAACAATCCTAGATATGATCTTGATGGCATTGTGACAGTCACCACATACACGGAGATTCTTGATGATCCTCAGAGTTTGCCTTGCAGGGGTGCTGATTAGACCAAATGCAATCGCCAATCTCTCACTGTGGTATAGCAAAGCTTGCTCTTTTGCCTCTTGATCAATGTCATGAAGCACATACCTTGTGTCCGGCACATAACCTCCTTCTTTCATTGATTTCAAAGCCTTCAATTTTTCATCATCCTTGTAAAGCGTTGGATTTCGAAATTCACTGATTCTATTTTTTCCATCCAGCATACTGATTGCAGTACGCTTCTTTGGTGGTGGCGTGGGGATCTTATTAGCAACAGCCTTTGACGGGTCAAGAGCAACCATCAACTCCTCAGCATAATCTTCAAGATCAACATCTCCATGAATTTGAGCATAATCCCTCAATGCCTCCCACACTTCAGCAGTTGGCACAAAAGGCAGGTTTTTCCCAATATACTCTTTAGCTTCATGAAGATGGCCAGATTTTCCAAGAACACCTATAAGCCCCATATAATGCTCAAACCCTGGAGAAATTCCATACTCTCTCTCCATCGATGCAAAATGTATAAAGCCTTCTTCAATAGCTTCTGCACTACCACAAGCTGAGAGAACTGCAAGGAAAGTCTGCTCATTTGGTTTCAACCCCAATTTTCTCATCTGCTCAAACAATTGCAACCCATCATCTCCCAAGCCATTGTCTGCATACCCATTTATCATCAAATGCCAAGAATCCATATTCCTATCAGGCATGTGATCAAAAACTCTTCGCGCATCAATCATGCTAGCACATTTTGCATACATTTCAATCACCTTATTGTTCAATCCAAGGTCACTCCTACAAGTCGACTGCAAGAAGTAATCATGAACTTTCTTTGCATCCTCAAGTGACTTAGGATTGTCAATTGACTCAAACAAAGATGAAAAACAATTAGCATCCGCTTTAACTCCTTTATCCATCAATTCAATAGCTTCTTTGACTTTCCCATCATGACACAACTGCGTTAAATCTAGTAGCGAGGGAACTGGCTCAGGCAGCGGATGCTCCACCACATGCCTTTGATTCCAGCTCTCCTGGTGCAATTGACTAGGGTTTTGACTGTGCGGGGCCCTTTCATTAAAATTTCTACCTTGAGGGTACCCTTGATTTTGGTTATTCCACTGGTTTGGGCTTCTGGGCATTTGAGTATTCATCTGATCAGCGTTTTGGTATTGAGGATAGCTCTGATTCTGCTGGAATTCCACTGATTTTGGTATCGGGCTTTTAGGCATTTGTGTATTCATCTGGGAATTCCACTGATTTGGGCTTTCACGTTGTGGAAAGCCCTGTCCTTGATTGGGATAACCCTGACCCTGATTAGGATATCCCCTTCCCTGATTTTGATAATTAAACTGATTATTACCAGGACCTCCGCGCTGTTGCGGGGGATGGTGGTAACCCTGGTTTTGTGGGGTCCACTGGTGATTAAAATTAGGGTTTTGTTGGCCATGAAAAACCCTAGGATCAGATGACGTTGGCGGTTGTTGGTTTTGGTGGTGTTGCACTGGTGGCATCAGGTACTCGTTTGGGATAGGGGAGGTGCTAAGATATTTTGCGTTTAGGATCGAAACCTGGGTTCTGTCTAAGTGGCTAGTGAAAGTGAAATGCGCGGAGTTAGAACGTACCTTGAAGAGAAGAGAACAAATAGTTGGCGATGGGCTCCGTCCGCAACGTATTGCCATAAGAGACGCCATTTTTTTGCTCTTCTTTTATTATTTCGAAGGGGAAATGGAGGATCCTGAATAAAACCCCTAATAAACCCTAGAGAGAAGACGGTGACAGGAGGCTGTGGTCTTTGTAATTTTATATTTTTGGGCTTCCCGGCCCCTCCATCTTCGGTGTACCCCAATCCAGGTCCGTTTTGGGGTTGGGTTTTGAGAGCATGACGCTTCATGATCCATTTGCCCTCGAAGCAAAAAACTAACACAACAACGACTTGTCTTTGTTAATTACTATTATTTTTTAAAATTGGATTAAGAATAAATTTTTCAATATTAAATTTTATAATTATTTTTTAATTATTTCAAAATTTACTATTACATTTTATTTTTTTATTTTTAACAAAAATATAAAATTTTATTTATATTATTTTTTATGAGATGTAAAAATTATGTCGATCATTTGGTGAGATGGGAAATTGTTAAGTTGTGTAACTTAAAACTTATTAATCTTTACAAAAATTCTTTTGATATTATGATGAATTAGTAACTATGTTGTACTATGAGATAAAAATAATGATTTCTTTATCTTCCCAAAAAAAAAAAAGAATTTGTAGCAATTCCTTTATACAATTTGTAAGAAGGTGTAATCTATGTTGGAACTCGTGTGCAAATTTCATTTGGGCTTTGTTTACTTCAGTGAAATTATGAGTGACAAGATAAATGTCTTGACCCAAGTTTGATAAAACCAAACTATTTGTTGAAATATTATTAGTCTAGATAATATGGACATTTACTCTTTTGAAGGTTACAAGAACCATTCATTATATGAATTTATTAATAGAAGTATTAGGCCTTTACCTACCCTTCTAACACCTATAAATACGGTCCTACCTAACCACTTGATACACTTATGTTATGTAATCTCATAATAGATAAATAAAAAAATTTAAATTTATAAACATAAATGTTACATGTTTCAATATGTTAATTTTTTTTTAAATAATGATCTCATAACAAAGTGATAACAAAATTAACTAAAATTCGATTTTAATGTCACGTCAAGTGTTTAAATAGATAGAGTAAATAAGATGATCTAACTCTTAATGAGAATGTTGCAATAACGATAGAATATTATGAAATCTCATATTAAAAAAGTAAATAAAAAATTTTATACTTATAAATGTAAGTATTACATATACTAATAATATTTTAAAAAATAATACTCCCTCGACATTTACACATCACTCTCATTTTCTACATCTATGTTCTACTTTTTTTTCTTCCACATTTCGCTTATATTATATTATGAATCTATTATGCTGTAGGCTTATAAGATAAAGAAAAAAGGTGTTATTCTTGGAGCTATTTACTGATTAGGTGATGTAGACTATTTTTCTTCCACATTTCTCTTATATTATACTAAATTATATGAGATAGTGAATGAAGAAAGAAGGTGGTGCCTTTGGTGATGTATACAACGAAAGTACATGTCGGGCTGTGACTTACTCTGGAGGTGTGAACCCGCTACATCGTTTTAGCATTGACTTTAGAGGTGTCCTATTAAAAGAGAGAGAGAGAATCGCGTCACAATCTAGACGCTTCAACAATACTTGCCTAATTCTACCATGATTTTGTATATTTATAAGTTTTAATTTATTAAATTTTATATTTGTGATATACAAACTTCATTTATTATATGGTAAATTATATTTTTGAGAGTTATTATTAGTTTATTATATTTGGTATAAAATTCAATAAACTATTTTTAAACTTATAGATGGAAAAAGTGTTAATAAGACCAGTTTGTGAGTTAAGCTGAACTTGAGCATGGGTTATGTATCATAGGTTGAAATTTAAGTTTAGTCTTGTGCGATTTAAATTTTAAATTTAGAATTAAGTCTATAAATTATGGATTCATGTTTTCAATTTAAAAACATACACGATAGATGATAAAAAATTCATATTTATATAATTAAGACCCACCTCATCTATTACTAATACGAAATTCATTGTATTTTACTCTACGTTCATTGCATTAGCTCTTTACTATTAAAGAAAATGACCTATTATACTAATTTGAGTTTATTTCGACTCTTGTATCTCTCATGGGGATTTCTCATCAGTAAAAATTTAAAATTGTCATGGGTTGAAACTTAAACTCAATCTCATGCAATTTAGTTGGACTAGCGCTTTATCTGTAGGGGAGAAAACTCTTACATTAATCTAACTCTATCTCAACTTTTGTGTCTCTCATAAGAGCCTCATATCAATGAAAATTCAGATCTATTTTAATACCAAATGTCATGAATTAAAATTTGAGCTCAATATCATGCAGCTTTAAACTCTGAAAATAAAACGTAAGTAAATTTATAAATTTTATATCTACGTTATTAATCCAAAAGATATACATGATAAATAGTAGAATGCTTATTTATATATTTAAGATTCATCTCAATTAATAATGACCTGAAATGCATAATATATGTTTGAACTTAAAAAAAAAATTTATTTGACTGAATTTCATAAAAAAGATAGAACATTCGCGAGAGGTTGAGAGGCATTTCCAAACTAAATTTGGTTGAACCTGTTTTCTCAAGGCAAAACCGCTATTCCTTTTTCTTTTTTTCAATCTGTGGCAAACATCACATGGGCAAAGCACACACCGAACAGGAGGCAAATAGCATAAACACAACCGAAACAGGTAGCTTCATAAGCGCACAGGGGGAGGCAGCAGCAGCAGCAAAGCCATGTCAGCTATGAGACGTGATAAACGATGTTAATTATCATCTTGCCATTCCGGGGATTACTATCGGAGCCACCGTAACCCCACGCTTTTGTCTGTCCATGTTGGCTTCCCAACCTTCATTTCCAACAACCCAAAAAGACAAAAATAAAAATAAATATTAGATTAGATAATACTAGTTGTAGGAGTACTACTAAAAGTTTCAAGTCAGAAACTAATCCAGAATAAACAAACAAACATGTCAGAACCCACGTAACATGTGGTTATTTTAATTTATTTTGTAAGATTTAAAAAAAATTTCAACATGGGTGATTTTCGGTTTCATACTAGTGGAGACAAATCCAAATATAATGATTAACTAAGTTTTGTGGGTTCATTTTATGATTAGCTCATAGGACGCCTTCATCCTTAAAGATGCATAATCAGGATCATGTTGACCTAGTCATCCTGTCACATTGTTCGTTATTCATGTTGCAATAATAAACTTTTGTGGAATAGTTTATTACTGCGAATTTAGCCTTTAGGGGAGATTTATTATAAATATATATTGTAGTAGTATATATTTTTTTCCCATAGTCAAATATTAAGTTAGATAGACAAATTGATATGCACCCAACTACACAGTTATTTAATTTGTTTTTTTTTTTCTAAAAATATGCTAAAAAACTAGCATTCGTCAAACCTTACTAATGCTTGAAGAAAAGGATCACTAATCCAGGAAGGAATATCAAAATTTTCTAACATACTTTGTTCAAACAAGGAGAATTCATCTCATGCCTTGGCTACAGATTGCATACCATTACAGAAGGAAAAAAGGATAGACTTGGACATATATACAGAACTGCTACACTAGTTTAAGTCAGACAAGGATTTCTACTAAACAAACTAGAATCAAGACTCCTAAATGCATCAGAAAAAGAATAGTTTGACCGCGAAGGGTGGGGGAGAAACCTATTAGCAAGTGTCACACAAATTCTTACCAGTCACTACCATATAACATAAGCTAGGAAGTGAAATTGTTATAGTATCAAGGCTAGTGATCTATTTTTTTTACACATTTCATATCGATTGATGAGCTGAAAAAGTGTTACCTATCCCCATGTCAAACCCACGATTCTTGAGCTCTCTGTATTCTTGACAGAGAGCACATGCACTACAGCAGAAGTGAACTAGGCAATCAGTGCATGGTTCCTCTGGTAAGTCATACTGTCCCCTCAGTTTTGAGCGATAGAAACATGAATAAAAGCATGCACAGCCAGTGAAAGCCAGTAGCCCAAACAGCAAACCCCTTGAAACACAAGCTGCAAACACCCGCCATCAAAAATAAAAAATTTAAACTAATTACAGATGATCATCGTGAAATCTTTCAACATCTGTTTGAAGTTGGTTGCTAAGTAAACTAACATTTGGATCCTCTGTTCACGATCTCAGTAATCTGTCCAAAAGTGACAGGGTTTTTATCTGCTTACAATTGACAGGGTCATCGAAACAATGGCAAAGACCAGATGTCCACTGCCCAGGTGCAGGGAGAGGGGGAGCCCGGGGCAAGCTGTTGGAGATATATGCATGATGGTGAACAGGATAAGGCTGTGTAGGGCTAGGCTCCGGAACTCCTGAAGCTGGGACAGGACCCATATGGCTGTCAGATGAATAGCTTGGACAATCATTCATTGTCGGATACATTTTGTGGGATTCAATTTGGGATAGCTAGCCTTTTGTAAGGTACAAGTTCTTCTTGCATATATATATATATATATGATATTGGTGGAAAGTTTTAAGAGGTGGAAACAGTCATATGGTCGAAGGCTTAAAATGCTCAATTTCTGGTGATGCTCTCGAGTAAATCATTGTAAATTTTTCTTTTCAATTATTTAATTTTAACCACCATAACAGAACAATAATGCAGGTCCTTTTCCGTGGCTTTAAAAATCTAGAAGGTAGAAAGGTATATCGTATATTTCTTCTTCCACATTTCTTTACTATAAAATTAGGTGATGATTTTAGCATGTATTATGTGTTCCATACAACTTCGATGCAAGTTGGTAGGAAGAAGACCATTAACATTATTCAAAATTGACCAAGACTTGAGGAATTTAATACTATCAAGGGGCTTTTTCTTAATTCCAAACAGATGAGGCGGCGGATACCAAGATGCAACACTGAAAATGACTACTTTTTTTCCTTCCTGCTAATCCACTCGTATGGTCCATCGCTGTGATGCTTGCCTCTTGTGCACGGCAGCCTTTAAATCATAGCATGTTTGGTTGGGTTTATTCGGGACTTTTGTTCTTTTATTTAGTTTAGGAATAATTTAAGAAATAATTATTCTTATAAAATGATTATTCTTTAAAATTTTTTAAATTTGAGGAGTGGCTAATACTACTTTTCTCATAATCTTAGCTATTCCATGCTTAAGGAATAAATTTAAAAAATTATAAAAATCAAAATACCCTTTACAAATTAAAAAAATTACAATCCTATTTTTATAAAATATTTTTTTTTCTCTCTCCTCCTTCTCTCCCTACTCCAACTTCTAATAAAATATTAATTTTAAAATATTAATGATCAAATTATAAATAAAATATTATTATTTAAATTATCAATTATTAATATTTAAAATAAATTATTAATTATTAATATTTAAAATAAATTATTAATTATTAATATTTAAAAATTAAATTAAAAATAAATAGTCATAATAATATATCAATTATAAATAAAATATTAATATTTTAAAATATTAATGATTAAATTATAAATAAAAGGTTAATAATTAAATCATCAATTATTAATATTTTAAATAAATTATCAATTATTAATATTTCCAAAATAAAATAAACTAAAAAAGTAATCATAATAATAATTAAATAAAATAAAATATTAGTGTTTTAAAATATTGATGATTAAATTTTAAATAAAATATTAATATTTAAATGATCGATATTTAATGTTTTAAATAAATTATTAATTATTAATATTTAAAAATAAAATAAAATTTTGATCATAATAATATTTAAATCAAATTAAATATTAATATTTTAAAATATTAATGATCAAATAATAATAAAATATTATTATTTAAATGATCTATTATTAATTTTTGAAATAAATTATCAATTATTAGTATTTAAAAAATAAAATAAAATAAAAAATTTAATCATAATAATATTTAAATTAAATAAAATATCAATATTTAAATTATCTAAATATTAATGATTAAATTACAAATAAAATATCAATATTTAAATTATCTAATAGTAATTTTAAAAAATAAAAATGATCATAATAATATTTAAATTAAATAAAATATTAGTATTTTAAAATATGAATGATTAAATTATAAATAAAATAATAATATTTAAATTATCAATTATTAATATTTGAAAATAAAATAAAAAGTTAATAATAATAATATTTAAATAAATAAAATATTAATAATTAAATTATAAATAAAATATTATTATTTTAAAATTAATATTATTAATATTTTAAATAAATTATCAATTATTAATATTTTAAAAATAAAATAAAATAATCATATATTATAATAAAATATATTTTTATCTTTTTATTTTTTAATTTTAAAATTATTTTTACTAATCAAACATAACAACAAATTATAATAACTATTCTTGTTTTATTTCATTTATTGTATCAAATTACATAATAATATATTTTATTTTTATATAATAATTATTTTATTTTATTTTTATCAACTAACCTTAACTTGCTACGGAAGAAACCGCAGAACCAAAAAACTTTGGCTCCTAGTTCATTTTCAGGCTGAGCTAAGTTAACAAATTTTGACTTTTCCTGTTTAACCCTAGCTGCAAGAACACTAGCCATATCCTCTTAATTAATACTAAGACTATGTTTGGCAGGAAAGAAGAAAACCTGAAAAAAAAAATGAAGGAAACCTTTTTTTTTTGTATGTAGTGTAAAAGATAAAAAATCATAAGGAAAGAAATAGATTACAGGTAAAACTGTAAACAAAATAATTAATTTAAATAGAAGGAATTTTTCTCAATTGAAAAAGATTATATTTAAAAAAAAAGCACAAATTCATTTATTTTCTTTCCTCACTTATATTCCTCTCTTATATCAAACAAAATAAGAGAACCAAAGAAATATTATTTTTATTGCACTTGCTTTTTCCTTTCGCTTTCCTTGTTGCCTACGAAGTAGTGTACGAAGTTTAACCGCTGAACTGAAGTCCACAGCGGCAATCCTAATCGTCATTTAGCTTGGGTCAATGCCTACTAAGGACAAAAAATATTAATTTACGTTAAAAGAGAAAAAAAAATTCAAAATAGAAAGCCAACTGGGGAGTATTCTGCTGTTCAACTATGGGATGTAGGGCCAGATTTACTCGCGCGATCTCCTAGTCCACGGATTTAGTAGTTGTTACCAGAAGACGGATTAAATTAGAACCCTCAACTTGCAAATTAACAAGCTTCGTGGACTGATTAAAATTATTGTAATGTAATTGTCAGCATTTTTGTGCGTTTTAAAAATAAAATCAACTATTTTTGTTAGTTCGTTTTGCATAATCCAAGTCAAAAGTCGTTACGAATACTGACAATAATCCCTGGAAGTTGCGTTGTGTTTTCTAAATTTATATTTTTAAAATGAACATACTGACCTCGTGTTCTCGACCAAGCTTCATGAATCCTTAACGAGTTCCATGGCCGCCATTCCGCCAACTAGATTGCACGAGATATGATGAGTCCTTGATGGATCCTTTCTTTGCTGGCAAGAAATGATCAAAGCCGAAGATGACACTCATGATCGTTTTATGCTCAACAAATCCAGCTTGTTGAATACGTTATTTTGGTCAAAGTATTTATAGTTTACTGCAAAGGTTTCTTCTTCGGCTATTGAAGTGGAGAAGTTCATCCTCTATTGCCTGACTAAGGGGTTAGCATTTCTTGTCATTGTTTTTACTGATGCCATATCTTTTTAACACAAGAATTCAGGTTTAATAATTAAAAATTGAATAAATAATTTACAATTCTAATTTTCTCCTTTTTCTCCCTTATTTTTTACCTCCTATTCAAAGCACCCCTCACCCCCCCCCCCCCCCCCCAAAAAAAAAAAAAAACTGAAAAGGAATGCAAAATTCAACTTATTTTCTTTTGCTCATTTACATTTTTTCATCTTTAAATACGAGGATATAAGCTTATTCAAGTCACGATCTTCAATCATTACAGATATATATTTTAAATTTATATTTGATACATTGATGATGTATTGAAATATTTAAAAATAAATATTATATATATATTTTAAAAAAGTTATGTTTTATGTATAACTTGACATAAATGCTAGGAAATTCATAATAGTAATTTAAAACCAACCTTACTCGTATTTATGGTGATTATATTTTTCAAGCTTTGCACTGGGACTTCACAATCATGTCTTTAATTCCTTTTCTTCCTCTTCGGTGTACAATTTTGAAATTTCTTTTTTCAAATTTTCAAGGAAAAAGATGGATGATAAAGAGAACATTCCTGGCATCCAATGACATTCTCAATTACGTTTTCTAGATTGAATATACTTTTCAAAAATAATAATAAGGTATTTACTTAATAAATTATATAATTTTTATCTTCAAATCGATATAGCTTTCTAACATTAAATTGCAAGTAAGACAACAACCTTTTAGAATTCTTTCAATTTAAAAATTGATTACTTTTATTATTATCTTTTTTTTTTAAAAAAAGAAATTGGTCACTCTTCAAATTAAATTAAAAAATAAGTTTTTTTTCAAAGATTATTAGGTTGGAAAAGAAGAAGAGAAAGATAAAAAAATTATATTTTATTATTTTTTAAAAATTAATAATACATATTTTTAAGTTTTTAAAAATTTAAAAATTATTTTTTAATAAAGTGACATTATTTATAACCCGTTAGTGTATCAAATATAGATTTTATATTTTTAATACAATTTTATTAATAATGGATTGAGCTTTGTGGGATTATATGAACCAAACTGAACCCTGGTCACCAAGGCCCTAGTCCTCCCGCACCCTGCCCAATACCTCAATCTTTCCAGATCCAAGTCCAACCTTTCACTCATTTCATTTACCGCCAAATTTCGTGATTTTCAAAAAGCCCTCCTTCTCTCTCCCCTCTTTCTTACACCGTAAATATGGCGAGAGAAACACAGTCCACGTCATCAATGGAGGAAGAAGAGGAGGAAGAAATTTTCTCCGATTCCGACCCAAGCGATTCAAGCGATGAATACACCGTTGATCGTCAAGAAGACGAAGAAGAAGAAGCGAACGATCATGACGACTACGGTGACAGTGGACAATCCACCGCTCACCATCCACCGTCCGATCAAGATCTCAAATCTAAAAACGTCGATGCTTTGCTAAGGTACTCTTCATTTCCAAAATCAAATACTTAAACTCTAAAAGAAAAACGAAGAACTCGAATGACAAGATAATTTTTTTTCTTTTAAATTAATCTAGGGTTTCGCTTTTGGTTTCCTGAAAGTTTGAAATGAAAATAATGTCTGATCTAGGGTTGATTTGTTTATGCAATAATTCTTTTATTATTCTTTTGATATCGTTTGTTGTGTGTAACTCCCAGAATATCGATATAGTCAAATAATTTAAGGGAAACTTTCTTCAGTTTTGTGAAATTGAATTCTAAGGTAATGATTTTCTAGGGGCAACCTAATTGTGAGGAGACAACCGCTGCTTCCACGAGTTCTTTCAGTGACAGAAGGAGCTGCAGTTTGTAGGAAACCATTCAAGCTTCCATGTTCTAACGGCTACAGTAATGGGAATGAACAGCTTGCACGTCGTCTTTGGGCCCGGAAGCGGTTTGTTCCTTGGGCCTCTTCAAGGCCAGCGTTAGTTGCAATAACCAATCGGCTGGATGTAAATAGAACAGATGGGACCGATGTCGTGGAAGAAATTGTGACTCTGCCACCTGGTGTTGGTCCTCTGGTATTGTGGCAACCTGAAGAATCTGAAGATGGGCCCGACAACTTAGTGCCAATAGCAGTTGATCCCTTGCTTGTTCGTTTTCTTCGACCCCATCAAAGGTATTGTTCATCAGTGAGAATCCTGCAGTTCGATTTTGGTATATGCAGGATGTGCTTATGTACCTAATTTATATGTGTTTATATTTGCAAGTTTGTTTGTGCATGCATGTGTCATGTAGATGGAATTCAGAAATGAACACGTTCAGTTCTAAACTATAGTTGTTAATAGCCAATTGGGACATATTGCTACCTGTCTCTATATGGATTTGATTTGTGTATCGTTGTGGTTATTAACAGGCAAGATGTTAGATTTAGAATGAGCATGTTAACAGTTATAGACTCTGGTGTTTAGATTATGGATTTATCTGCTTCTTACTTTTTGTAATTGGTGAGATGAAATTTTTACTTTGTATGCAGAGAAGGGGTTCAGTTCATGTTTGAATGTGTTTCCGGGTTATATAGTGCTGCTAATATATATGGATGCATTCTTGCTGATGATATGGGGTAAATATCTTATCCTTTCAGGGTAAATTCCTGCACACTGAGTTTATGACCTCAGTTATTTTGCTCTTTATGTTAGTTACATAACTTTCATATTTGCAGTTTGGGAAAGACATTGCAGTCAATCACTTTACTATATACTCTTCTACGTCAAGGTTTTGATGGGAAGCCAATGGTTAAGAAGGCCATTATTGTTACCCCAACCAGTCTTGTCAGTAACTGGGAGGCAGAAATCAAGAAGTGGGTTGGAGAAAGAGTTCAGCTTATAGCTCTCTGTGAAAGCAGCAGAGATGATGTTGTGTGTGGAATTGACAGCTTCACAAGTCCCTGCAGCTCTTTACAGGTAATCTTTGTACTCAATGATTGATATGGTAATATTTTTGGAAATAATTATTTTTTTTATGGAAATAATAATTAATCTAATCAATCCTTTCCAGGTATTGATTGTTTCATATGAGACATTTAGGATGCATTCATCAAAATTTTGCCAAAGTGAGTCTTGTGATCTTCTCATTTGTGATGAGGCTCACAGGCTGAAAAATGACCAGACAATAACAAACCGGGTATGTTTCTGAAGAAATGCCTTTCTCTTCTATTCGTGCTTGGTAGATGTCATCTTGTCTGTCAGTCTGTTTGTTTGTTTTCTTCTTTTGGGTAATTGAATTTTTCCAATATCCAAAAAAGGCAGAACGAGTCTGCTACTAAAGGTACATTAAAGGGAATAACCCCCACTAAAGCAGCTAGCTAGCTAATTCTTTTTGACCATCTAAACATATAAAAAGTCATTTTATTTGTTACTTTTCTAACAATGTCCATGAATATGTCTCTGGGCTAGGCATTGGCTGCTCTCTCATGTAAGCGCCGGATTCTGTTATCTGGAACTCCCATGCAGGTATAGACATTTGCATATGATTTTTAATATGCTTTATGGACTTAAGTTTGTCTTCCTAACATATAAATTTCCCCTCCTTTTGTATTCAAACAGAATGACCTTGAAGAGTTCTTTGCAATGGTCAACTTCACTAATCCAGGGATTTTGGGTGATGTTGCATACTTTCGTCGCTACTATGAGGTATGCTGGTTGCTTGAGATTGTGGTTTAGAGGTTAAATATGAAATGCAAAGAGCACATGGAAATTTATGTCTCTGGGCGAGTTCAAGATGTTTAGTATTTTAACTCCAAAATCACCTTTCAAGTTATGTGTTTGAATTGAAAACTCATACTGTATATCCTAAAGTATGAAGGGTATAGTATCATGGTGGAAACCATTATAGTGTCTTGTTAAATTAATCTATACATATTTAAATTAGGCTTTTCAAAAAAAAAAAAGAATTAGAGATAATAAATCTGTTAGGAATGTATACTAAGTTGTATTATTGGTGACCACATAATTTTTCCTTTTCTTTCTTTTTTTTCTCACTCTATTGACATGTGCTGGTTTGTTATATATACTGTCATGCATACAAATAATGAAGGCACCAATTATTTGTGGAAGAGAACCAACTGCTAGTGAAGAAGAGAAGATGCTAGCTTCAGAACGTTCTTCAGAATTAAGTGCAAAAGTGAATCAGGTGATTTAAGTTCATTATTATTATCTTGAAAAATAGTGCAATTGAAGAGAGTTTCTTGAGGATTGTATCGGCATTTTCACTGGTATTTGAGAATTATTTAGTAGACTAGTAGTTTCTCTCATCCTGAAATAAGTCACTTTCTGTACTGATAATGACTGCAATTCTTTTCAAATAACTGCTTCCTGTGTTTTTCACAATTGACTAAAAGTGTACATTATTGCAGTTCATATTGAGGAGGACTAATGTGTTGCTATCAAATCATCTGCCTCCAAAAGTATGGCCCTTACGTTGACTTTCTTTTCACTTTTTTACATGCCACCATCCTCTTACATTTTTTTTAATCTTTTACTTAAGCCTTATTATTTAAATATAAATATTTAATGGCTTATCTGAATTTTCCCTGTTGGACATTTTTGTTTTTCTTTCAGATAGTTGAAGTAGTTTGCTGCAAGTTGACTCCTCTACAGTCCGAGTTATACAACCATTTTATACACTCCAAAAATGTAGGTTTATTTGTTATTGATTTACTGTGAACCACCTGAATATGCACCATGTATAGACTGAAAATAATTGTTATATTGTCCCTCTTGAACACAGGTTAAACGAGCCATCACTGAAGAAGCAAAGCAATCGAAGATATTGGCTTATATTACAGCTCTTAAGAAGCTATGCAATCATCCAAAGGTACTATAGTTTCCGGGAAAAACAGATTTCTGGAGTTGTTTCTTAGTGAAAATTGAGTTTCGTACTTATTGTGAGGACATGATGTCCTTTTCTTTGGTGGTTGTTGTTATTTTTACATTTAGCATTCCATATTCGACATGATGTCCTTCTCTGTGTTCAACATTTTACATTGACCTGGATGTATAGGCATTTGTTTTATTTGACTTCTCTTGTTTACCTTTCTATTTGATTTCTCTTCTATTTCTAAGTTTCAGAAAATCACTTTGTCCTCGTGGATGATATTTCTTTATGTAGCTCATTTATGATACTATAAGAAGTGGAAGTCCAGGAACTACAGGTTTTGAGGACTGTATGCGCTTTTTCCCACCAGAAATGTTCTCAGGAAGGTAGGCTTCTTGCTTTATCTGTTATTTTTATGCTTCATGTCAACAATCTAAGATCTCATATGATTTTTTTTCTCCTTTGATTGTTAGATCTGGATCATGGACTGGTGGTGATGGGGCTTGGGTTGAACTGTCTGGGAAAATGCATGTATTAGCCCGATTGCTGGCTCATCTGCATCAGAGAACTGATGACCGCATTGTTCTTGTCTCAAACTATACACAGGTCAATTTAAATGGCTAAAAAATGTGGTTCAATTGTATGGAACAATTTTTTTTATTTGAATCATATAGAACATCATAAATGAGCAAAACATTCATGTTTGTCAAACTTGCTCATGGGGAAACACCACTTTATCATGGACCACTTCTGTTCCTATTGCAACATGCATCAATGTTTATGTTGAGCATTAAATAGATTTTTCTGGGGATAAATCATCATCTAGTTAATTTTTTGGTGAAAATTAAGTTATTGTGCATCAGACGCTGGACCTATTTTCTCAATTGTGTCGTGAAAGAAGATATCCGTACTTGAGGCTTGATGGAACCACATCAATTAGCAAAAGGCAGAAACTAGTTAATCGTTTTAATGACCCCACCAAGGTATGAAATTTCTCACATGAATACATTTGTGGATAAGGCTTCTCTAGTTCATAGTTTTGCTCGAGGGCTACACTCATAATCCAGATTGATTCAACATTTTGCAGGATGAGTTTGTGTTTCTATTAAGTAGCAAGGCTGGTGGTTGTGGTCTCAATTTGATAGGTGGTAACCGGCTTGTCTTGTTTGATCCTGATTGGAACCCTGCTAATGATAAGCAAGTAATATCTTTTCTAAGCTCTGATTATTTCTGAAGTCACTAAAGTAGGAACTTGTCATTTGCCCCAATATCTGACTATTTGCTAACATAAATTAGGCTGCTGCAAGGGTCTGGAGAGATGGGCAAAAAAAGAGAGTTTACATCTACAGATTCCTAAGCACTGGAACAATTGAAGAAAAGGTTTTGATGTCACTTTAACTGAATATAAATCAGTTTTTGCATAATAAAACTTCCAATGTATATATAGTTGGAATGAGAGGGCATATTTATATTTCTGTAGGTGTACCAGCGTCAAATGTCGAAGGAAGGGCTTCAAAAAGTTATCCAGCAGGAGCAAGTGGACAGCCTTATGGCACAGGTTCCTATTTGTTGGTTTTTCATGCTTTTTGTTGAAACTTGATCTTAGTTCATCTTGTACCAACTGTTTTGGATTGCAGGGAAACTTTTTCTCAACAGAAGATTTACGTGACCTTTTCACAGTTTATGATAATGTGAGGTATTGTGTTTCCCTAATTTGTAATATACTATTAAATGCATTACATAAAATTGTTTATTTATTTATCAGGATTAGGGTAACATCTTCGGTAGTGAACCTGAAGGCTTGCGAGGTTACATGAACTGTGGGTATTTTGTTATCAAATAATATGAATTAAGAGCATAAGCATCTTGTGAGCCTCTTAACTTTCAGCAACAAGACATAACATTAGCTCAGACAATAGCCTCTTTTTTACTAAAGGCTACAAATTACCACAGGAATAAAGAAATCAAAATGAAAATTATTGCATTGTCTTTGGTAGCAAGTCAAGCATGGCCATGGCTTATATAGTAACATGGACATGTAAATTAGTTTTGCTGGTTTTGTCAAGCATGCCACTTCTTATTTCACTTGTACGTAGCTATGCTGCTCCAGTTCACTCTATCTTTGAACAATTGATTGCAATGTTTTTTAGCTGAAGCAATCCCCAGTTCATCTTCGTGCTTGTGTAACATGACCCTGTATCTCATAAACTATGCAGGTCTGAAATTCATGAAAAGATGAATTGCAACCGTTGTGAAAATTATGATACTGGCCCTGAGAATATAGGAGAGCAGGAAGAATATGAATCAAAAAATGGAAGTTCTGGATCTGATCAAGAAGTTTTTGACGTAGGTGGATTTGCAGGATTAGCCGGATGTTTGGATAAGTTAAAGAGCTCAGAAAAACAGGTTTGGCTGTTACTGAGTTAGTGAATATACTGGTGCCTTATTTCCTTCTAATATGTTTGATTCTGTTTATCTTCTTTGGTATGGTTTTCAGGTGGGGACTCCCTTAGAAGAGGATTTAGTTAGCTGGGGGCATCATTTTCGCTCAGAATCAGTTCCTGATGCTATTCTTCAAGCTTCAGCTGGTGATGAGGTATGCCAATTTTTATGAAGTGTCATTTTTTCTGTTGACTGATGAGGTTTATTTTGCAAAACACAGTTTTGGATCTAAGGGTTGTTATTTCTCTCCAATCATCTCTCTTTGGCTGCAAATCGTAGAACAACTGCACAGATTGCTGGAAACCTAAATGAAGCATGTCTTAATTTAAAGTCTAACCTGACGGTGAACAGTTTACAGTACAGAAATGCTTATACTACATACATACGTATACATACATATGCATATGCATGAAAAATACTTTTAGAAGTATTTTATATTGTTTGAAAAGATATGCTCTATATTAAATGTTTTCTTGTGAAAGATGAGAAGGAATTTTCCAGTTTCTTTTTTCTTTCTAAATCTTTTGACTGTTTGGCACTTTGATATGATACTTAGCACTTTTTCCACATTACCATTTCAGAGGAAACAGAGAACTGGAATATCAACAAAACCTCATTTTGCATCTAAACTAAGAAGTTTTATGTTGTCATACAACCCTAAACGATGCTACAAGTCTATGCAAATTAATGGTCTTGAGCATATGAAGAATGAGCTTCCTCTTGTGAAATTTATGCATTTAGTATAAAATTTGTAATGCAAGTGCTAACTTCATATTGCAGGTCACATTCGTCTTCACAAATCAAGTAGATGGGAAGCTTGTTCCTATTGAATCAAAGGTAAACCCAAGGATGCGGGAAAAGGAAGGAAATAAGAGCCAAAATATAGGAAAGGCAAACATGATCGAAACAGAAGGAACTAAGATCCAGAAGACCGCCAAGCAAAACCTGGATTCTAAGTCAAACTTTTTGTCCAAACATCACAAATTATTAAATTCTGTTTCTTCAACTAGAAATTCTTTGAGGGTAACACCTGTTACTTCCTCCACCCCTTTCCAAGGGCAAATTGTGAAATCGATGAGAAGTTCCCTAAGAGGTGAACTTCATGATTCAATAAAGGGTGGACTTTCTCTTGGAAATCAATTACCCCTGAAAAGATCATCCCCTGCTTCTGTAGAACATGATGATGATTTTCAATGAAGCTTTTGGCAGCATATATAGAGCATTATAAATTATTGCCCCCCCTCCCTTCCCTCTGGAAATGGAAGTAAAGTGCAGTCGTAAACAGATGGGCAATGGTGATTTTCATTCACTGAAAAAGGCAGGATTTTGAGCTTTTTGTGCCCTGTCTAAGCTCAAACTTATTCTAAACAACATTAAGACAAAAACATGGGAAATCAAATCAAAGCATGCTCCTTACTTCTCATTATACCTCTTCTGGCTTTTTTAACCAAAGGCCAAGATTAGTGCATGTTTTATTATGGTACAATACAAAGTAAAACTTACCATAATGTAGTTTAGATTCAAAGCACCTGAATAAGAAAGTAGAGGTTCTCTCCGAGATGCAACATTGGAAACAGAGCCTTGTATTGAACACGAAATATAAGATAGATTCTTCCCAGATTAAGAGTACAAAAAGACAAGTTTGCTAGCGAAGTGGGAGACCAAAAGCAGACACACTGCCAATTAGACCAGCGTTTTCTCCACTAATCCATGAAGTTGGCACTTTGGCACATTGTCTCTAGCTAATCCATAGTTTCTCTCACTCTTTAAGCATCAAATTGGGAACCGAACACTTGTCAAATTCCCATTTGGGGGAATCAATGGGGAAAAATTCCATTTCGATGAGAATGAATGAAGCATGTGAAAGGTCAATAGGGGGCCAAAACGAAAATGTCATTCATCTTCACAAATTATTGATGGTCAAACAGAGGACTAAATTAAACTTTTCTGGTTTTGTTGTGTAGGTAAGAGTTGAGAAACTTTATATCTACTTAATCTTTGCGCTCAAAGATCACACCAGCTAAGGTCCACATGGGTGTCTTTGAAAGACTTCTCAACACTGTAAGATGGATGGACATGGAGAACATATGAACTTAAAATATAGGACCCCTAACATGGGAAACCAGCCATGGTAAACTGGCCATAGAAACAACATGGACAAAGTCCACCAACATGCCAGTAAAAATCATTAGTTAACTAAGAAAAAACTTTTGTTTTCATGGATAAATCTGAGATGACTTAGATTGATCCTAACCCAATCATGAAGATGCTAGAATTTAGAATTCAACCGACTTTAGATTGAGAGTAACTCCTTTTATACTGACAAAATCAGGCAGTTTAGAAACTGTGCACATATCATCAGTTTGATAGAGTTTTAACAATCATTGGGTCCAACTTGGTTTTGTCTGGTCGTTTTTCCTTTTGTGAAAAAGACTCATGAGTTGGCCAAACCCAAATTGGTGGGATAGTGAAAAACAATTAGGCCTTTGGGGTCTATATAGGCTTTGCCAGCTTACATTTGCACAGCCGTTAAAAAACAAATGCAAAGTTATTTTTAGGAGGAAAATGATTTACCCATATTAGTTAATCACTAGGTGACAAATCTAAGTAACATGAGATGTCTAGAAAGCCCAATATAAATGCAAACATCTGCATGTGGATTCTAACAACTGCGAGAGAAGGAACAACTTTTTAAGTTTTTAATTCGGAGGTTGTGCTGTGAACATCTAAAGCATGCCTAAAGATGTTCAACAATGAACAGAAACAGCAGCAGCAGCAGCAAGGTCTCTTCAGTCCCACTATGGACCCAAGAATCTCCTTCTCCAATGATTTTGCAGACCCTCATCAAGGTCTCAAATATGAGAGCAACTATAGGGAAGCTCCAGTCTCTTCGGACTTCGAATTCTCTGTCAAAAACTATGCCATGATACCTGCAGATGAGATCTTCTTCAAGGGCATGTTGCTGCCCTTGAAAGATAACGTCGGGACTGAACAAGGGAGAAAGCTGACTTTGCGAGATACACTGCTTGTAGATGATGAGTTGGAGGACTCACTCCCAAGGTTGCACAAGGGTTCGGGCTGGTGGAAAGAGAGGTTGGGGCTCAAAAGGACTAACGTAGTATCTAAAAATGGGAACAGGAATGACCCAATTCTTGAGAAAGTAGTTGAAGACAAAATTAGTCCTACGTTTGTCTACCATGAAGATCTTATCAGCACACAACCCTAGGTGAGACTATACTTCCTTATCTCCTTTTTTTCTGTTGTTCTTCTAAATGAAGTAGCAGTAGGAGAGAATTACAATACAATAGTGTACATCTCCCCTTTTGCTTCAATTTGGCCTTTGCTACAGTTGGGAAAGTCTCGAAGATGTGTTTTTCTATTTTCTTTTTCTTGGCTTAATTATTACAGGAAAGTGGACAAGCAGGGATGATGTGATTGGCAAATTTAAGGGGATGGGAAAATTTCCTTTGCTAACTGTATAGGGTAACAACGTAAGAGAGGAAGATTTGGCCTTTGACGAGAAAAATCCTTGCAAATTTAGTCTTCAGAAGAGACTTCTCCTTCTCTTTTACTTCTTTTGTTTCTCTTGGCTTCATTTGTTTTTTTTTTTTTTTTTGTTTTTGTGTTTTTTCAGTTTAGTGTGAAGAAACACCCTGTCCCCTACTGAGTTTCCCAGGAAGAAGTAGACAAGTGTTTTGTCCTCTTTTCCTTCTGGTTCTGTATAAATGTCAGCGGTTAACGATCTTTACATGAGAAGATCCATGTCTTACTATTCCTTTGTTTCTACATTTCTCATTTTTCAGTTCATGTCTACTGGGGGATGAAGTTGGACCTTTCTGCCTCTCTACCCTCTCGTTTCTCTTTTCTTGTCTCAAATAAGACAAAGAAGGCCTGTTTCCCGTAATAAAATTCAGTGAAAGGTGGCTCCACCCATAATTTATGGGAAAACAAAAACAGACGAAGAAGAAGGGTTTGACAGAGGAAATGGATTTTCCTATTTCCCCATTTCTTTTTCAATAACAAATATGACAAAGAATTTATGTACAGCAAGCTGAAGCAATATGCACAGTGCCTGAGGCTTGAAAAGAATTAACACTGTACAACTCACAATTTTCAGTGGGAAAACCTATGATTACGAGACTTCATCTGTGTTGCTAAAAGCTAATAACTCTGGCTCTTAAATTACCAGTGTACATATTTACATTTTGTACAAAATTTACCGCCTCATCCTGTCTCTGACGGGAAAGAATCAGTGTGATGGCTTCATTAACTGGAAACCTGCAGCCAGAAAATACAGTGGATTCAAAATTCAGGCAGCACATGTTATGGAAACTGTCTAGTAAATCCAGCTAACAACGTATTGTTCGATATCAGGTCTGGACAGAACTTGATTTGTGACTGCTATATGCCTCAATGGACATTTACCTTAGAAGCAGTGTACCATAAATGCTTACAATAGCATGTTCACAACAAAATACAATTACAATAAAATGTTTACTGAAGCTGTTTCAACACCAAAGAAAATGCATACTTCTTGTTCTATGGTAAAATAAACTTTAAAAGGTTCAACTTACATGAAAAGTGGAACTCTAGCCAGGCAAAATAGAGCTAAATGACAATCCCCTTTGTCATTGAGGTAAGAACACTCTTCAGTCAATCACAATACTCCTGTGTACCAACAAGAAGATAAAAACAAGAAACTGCGAAATTTCTGCTGATGCACAATGGATAAGCTGAAAATAAATTTCCACTGTCGATGCAAGTACCGGTAAAATACCAGAATTTTTATACTACTGGGTACACGATCAGTTTTGATCCTGTGGCAGAGTGGGACCAAAATATTTCTCCATCGACTCTTTCTTGCGTTCAGGATCAAGGCTGCAAGCAAGGACAGCATCATTAGTTGTTCATTCTAGATCTAGAAAGTTACTTAGAACTCATTTGTCAGAAAAACTTAAAAGAAGACAACAAATAAATGATAAAAGAAGGCAGAATTGGGTTTCAATCATGGCGAACCAAAGCAAATATACTGATACGTTGCTGCTCAATTAATCAACACTTCCATATACAAGAAAATGATTATTAAGGTTAGTCCCCATATGTAGCATAGATTCTTGCAAGTTATAATTATAGTCCTGATTTTATTACAGGTCATGTTACACACTGTAATTTTAATAACACTCTTTGTAATAAGCCATCTCCTTACTTTCTTATATAAATGGTATTTTAATTATCTCCAAAAAAACCTTTAACAACAATTTATCTCCTAAATGCACAATCACAATTGATAAAATTTAATTGTGTTAAAATATAATATCAAAATTTTCAATGAACCACAAAGAATTAAAATTAATATAATAATTACCTATTTTAATATACAGAAAAATAAAACTATGGCATCTCGTGGGCTCATTTCTAGTTTAAATTCTATGTTTTTCAGTCATCAAATCCATAACAAAGCAGCATAAAAGACAGTTTAGATCAGTAAGGAGTTCAAAACTTCAAATTAAGATAATAAATCATAAAAAATATTTTGAAAGCTTGATATCTTGAAAATCTTAGTCTAATAAATCGGTAAATTAATTAAGAAAGTCAAAGGGGATGGGTGGGAGGGAGCCACAGCTCCTTTGACCTAACCCTAGATCATTGATAAAATACCTGTTTCTAAGTCCAAGGAGAGCACAGTGTAGTGCACTTGCACAAGCAGAAGCTGGAGCTATAGCAGCTGCAGGAACTGCCCGAACAGCAGTTGCCAATGCAGAACCAGCACTGGCTCCGCGTTGGTATTTTTTCAGAGGTGTCTGAACCAAAGCAGAGGCGGATTTCTCTAAGCCATCACTGATGCTCTCATAAGCCTGCCAAATTTAAACCATCAAAACCTTGTTTGAAATATAATTTGCATAAAGCATATATTTACATGTTTTTGTCACCCATACTGAATACTAGAAAAGACATGTTTAATTCTTCTAGAAAACATATGTACCAACATTAACAAGGAGGAAACCAGTTTATCTGAAAACAAGTATAACGGAATCCTTACCTGTTGAATTCCTTGTTGGGCATCTTTAGGTTGATTATGTCTCACATTTGTCTTCGTCTTGCCTTGTGAAGGCCATGATACAGGAGGAGGGATGCTTGTGAACATATATTCAGCTTGAAGCAGAAAGTCACGAGTCCCTGCTGCCAAATGCACACCGAGTCCAACAGCTTCAATTGATATACTTCGGAG